ACGTGAAGAGAGTACGCGGATCGCGATAAGAACCCTTAGCAAAATACCGTTCCGACGACGCGTCGCCTTCTCCATAAATGCTAATTAAGTATAATCTAACAACTCCTAAGTCCATTGATCGAATACATATTAAATTATATTAATTGACGTTCTACGACGAATTACAAATTATCGCGTTATCTCGTTCGTATGTATACGATTTGCAACAATGCTTAAGCGCGAAGAGGGGCAGGGGAGGGGGGGGGAGGATAGGGGATTCGCGTACTCGTAGAAATAAGTAAGAGTGAAGTATTTAGACGATAAGTCGATAATTTTCTAAAGGAGACGATGGATCTCCGCGTTCGATTATCGATTATCGTTTTCGATTCAATATTATTTTATCTTTTCTTGTTCTCGTTTTTTTCCTTTTTTTTCCTGTTTTTTTTTTTTCGGAAAGAAATGTCAGGAAGGGAGGACGACTTGGATGGGACGTTTCTGAATTTCCTGGATAAGTTGGCGCCTTCGGTGACCTCCTTAATGACCGTGCTCGAGGAAGGCACGCGTTTAACTGGCGCAATGCTTGCTGAGAGAGAGAGAGAGAGAGAGAGAGCTTTGCTCGGTGGGTGCTCCTCCCGCTCGTAAATTAATCCGCGAGGGATCAAGGCCCCGCGAGTAACAATGAACTTTTGGTGCCCTCATCGCGTCGCGTCGTCGCGAACAAATTCAATGTCGTCGAATCGCCGACGAATCGCTTACGTTATTTCTGTGTACGTTCATACATGTGCTCGCCGAGTATTTCTCTACGAATAAGTTCTCTCTCTCTCTCTCTCTCTCTCTCTCTTTCTCTTTCTTTCTTTCTGGTACGTTTTAGGAATAGAAAAATAAAAAGAAGCGAACGAGCGCGAGGTTCGAATTTTTGATGAAAGAATGCAACTTACCGATGCATCGTACGCGTCTACGAAAACAGCCGACCTCGAGACGCTTCGATCTCGCGTGAGATTCATACTGGGGATGAAAAAAACGAGAGGAAGAGAGAGAGAGAGAGAGAGAGAGAGAGAGAAAGAACTCCCGGCGATCGCATTATTCAGATTAGGGCATCGACTGAGAAACGGCTGCGCGGATATGCGAGAAGAAGCGTGTTCTATCTCTCTCTCTCTCTCTCTCTCTCTCTCTCTCTCTTTCTCTTACACGCATGCAGTGAGGAGACGTGCGTACACATTTGTATCGGTGGAAGATAATGCGTCTGATCGTGCACAAGCGAAGAATGTTAATGGTGCTTCGGTTTTGTATGCAGGAAGTGACGGCCGTCTCTCGTGTCGTGTAGCGGGGCCTGGCGCCCGGTGTCCGCTCGGAAAAAAGGCCCCTAACGTGCGTGCGATAAAGAGGGAGAAAGAAAGAGAAAGAGAGAAAGAGAGAGAGAGGGAGAGAGCGGAGTATGAAAAATTGACGGATTCACCCGTAGCCACGAACCGCGGAGAGCGGCGGCAGTAAGTTGCACTTTTAAATCTCATCGTAAACACGCGTCTATAGTGGCTCTCATGTTCGAACGATATTATTTTAAGGGATGTAAAGCGATCGATTTGATACCATACGATAATTTGTTGTAAAGTACATTAATAAAATTTCTTCGTCGATAATTAGAAATTTAAACGACGACAATAATTGATTAACCATGTCGGTTTAATTATAGGAGACAATTTTCATCGATCGATTTATAGATTCTCGTAAATATAAGCTTGGCAAAGAATGCCGGAAATGATCGATGGGAAATAATAAAATAGTAAATGAAAAATATAACGATAAGTCGGGAGTTTATATGGATGGTTGTGTACAAAAGACCACGTGCGTGACGCGCCAAACTTTTGGCCGGTAGCTCGAGAACATATGCCATATACATATATACATACATACATACATACATATATATATATATATGTATTCTAATTCGCTACCGGTCTTTCTCGCCTCCCTCTTCATCGTTTCTCCTCCGTTTAAGGCCCCGTTCCTCGGGCCTGTTCTCTCCTCCTCATCGTCATCGTCGTATTTCTTTAACGACAAGAAAACGAGAAGTTCGCGTGCATGTCTTGCTAGCTATGCAAAACGCAGAAAGATATCCAGGAGAGCAGCAGCACCAGCAACAGGCCGAGGGAGAAACGATATTAACCGCATCGAAAAGAGGAGCAAGAGGAAAAAGACGAGCGAGCGAAGAGGACGATGGTGTTCGCGTGTCGGTGGTGTTGCCACTGCTGGAGAATCCGTGTCTCGGTGAAGGTGGCTCTGTGTGTGCGTTGGCGCCAGGTCGCATTCTCGCATTCGTTAACCAACACATCGAAGCCGTTAAACTTCTCCCCTTCTCTCCATCTTTCTGCCGTGCTCGCGATCAAGTAGCTCGTGCCTTGTTCCTCTCGACGAGAGCTCCTTCTTCTTTTTCTTTTTCTCCTCCTTCCCCTTCTCTCTCTCTCTCTCTCTCTCTCTCTCTCTCTCTCTCTCCCTCTGTCTCTCACCATCCTCCATGTAGAGATATTAAGAGGAGCCACGGCTCCCGAATTTGCCAAGCGCGGGACGACGGTATCTCGATTTGTCCTCGTCTCGTTTGCACACCGCAGGTACGTGGCGAAACGACCGGTTTCTTCCTACGGTGCGTCCGACGCATCGATGTTTCGGCATGCAAAGTGTCCCCAAAGCGAACAGACAGAGAGATGGGATCGCCTTTGGAAGGAGCGAACGGAGGGTGGCTAAGAGATCCCTTTACGGATAAAAATTTTGTCAACAAAACGAGGATGCGAATTGTGTCACGTCTTTATTATTACGAATTTCATTTGTAGAACGTCACTTACGATACTATTTGTCTTTATATACCTAAGAAAATTTACTTTCGAAATATTTGTTGCTTTTCTTAAGAAAAAAAAGAAAAAAAAGAAAAAGAAAAAAGAAAAAAACAACAGGAAATATTTACATACCCATTTACTTATTTACGTTTTTTGTCATTTTCGGACCATCCGATATATTAGTTGCGAAAAGACAAGAGTAAAATATGTTCGTCAGTGAATATCGTTCTATCTCGAACGATCGAGCAAAAGTCGTGTCGTTGAGACACGACGCGTCACCGAGTCCGACACCTACCTAAATCTATAGCCGCGCGCTCTTAATAGCTACATCCGTCCGTCGTGACGCGGCTGACATCCGTAAAGATTGGAGTAGTAGCATCGTGACGAAGATGACGACGAAGACGACGACGAAGAACCGAACCCGGCATTCCAAAGGAGCTCACGTCGGTTCGTCCACCTCGAAATCCGTTCGCGTCCTATCCTCGTTTTTCATTCGTTCTTAGTTGACGCCTCAAAAAATACCAGAGCCGACTAACCGAAAAGCGAAATCATTTTTTCATTTCTTTCCTTCTTTTTTTCTTGTCTTTTTTTTCCCCTTTATTTATTTCTTTACTTATTCATCTCCCTTCTTATTTCTTTTCCTTTACACTTGAATTAACCGGCATTCGTAGGTAAGAATTCAGGACAGGGACAAGGCGACTTACCTGCGACAGAAATGGAGCATCGTACTTAGATTCGACAGGAAGCGAAATAAAAAGAAAAAAGAAAGTGAGAGAGAGAGAGAGAGAGAGAAGAGCCACTAATGACTTCCTGGCACAGGCGACGTCTCCCATCGAACTTTATTTATGGTTTTCAGGGCACTGTGAGCGCATACCGTGTGCGTGGCGCTTACCTTCAAGCTTTCTCTTTCTCTTTCTCTCTCTCTTTCTCTTCCCCTTCCCATCTCTTTCTCTAGACTAGAATGCAGAGATCTCATAATCGTACTTCTCGTAGTATTTGCCTTTCTAATTTTTTTTCTTGAATAATTATGTAGAAATGAAAGAGAAGAAGAGAGAGAGAGAGAAAGAGAGAAAAGAAAATTCATGTCAAAAAAATTTACTGTCACATTGACAGGTGCAATTTAAAAATGATAATAATCATCGAATAACATGAGGTGTGTTCCGTCAGTAAATTCTTCCGCTTTGACTCGTAACCATATATCAAAAGGTCAAGTATCTATCTAATCTCACGAACGTCCTCTTCGAGAAACAACCAATGAAGCTACCAACGAAGCACGTGATGCTCGTATTTCCTTCCTGAATAGAAGAGAACGAGAGAGAGAGAGAGAGAGAGAGAGAAAGGGGGGGAGAAAAAGAGAGAAAAAGATGCTCGAATAAGATTGCTTCTCTTTTGAAAAAAAAAAAAAGGAAAAGAAAAAGAAAAAAGAAATTGGTTATCAGGAATTCCTGACGATTAACGATTTTCTTCCGGCAAAAGTCGATGTAATATCGAATAAATATTGAAGAAACGATTGAACTGATTTTCATTCAAATGAAATAGACAATTATTAAAGGAGAGGAAAGGAGAGGAAGATTGACACTAAGTGAGACCTAAAGAGAGAGAGAGAGAGAGAGAGAACGAGAATAGTTGAGGAAATTATCTGGTATTTTCTACACGGACCATGTAGTCAGCCGAAGCAAAGGTCAAAAGTTGAGCAACGCTCTTGTTATCGGTGTAAACACCGCGTTCGCATTTGCAACGATGCGATCGACGTTTTTCGCACGATCAACGAATTCTTTGGGAAGGTAGGAACGATCGAAGAAAATGATAAATGGCAGGTCTATGAAATAGATATTAAAAAGAAAGAAAAAAAGAAAAAAAAAAGTGAAAAGAAAATGACATATCTTTTTCTCTCTCTTTATCTCACTTTTTTTTTCCTTTTTTTTTTCTTTTTTAAGAGGAGATCTCCGACGAAAGGATCGGATCTCGTAGGCCTTTCTTAAAGACTCGATTGACGGAAGACGGAATCTGCGGTTAGGACAACGCGGACATCCATCTGTATCTCTCTGTCTTTCTCTCTTTTTCTTCGTCTCTTTGTAAGCAGCACGGCTACCGAGTACGCGCTCGAGCCAAGGCGAGAGGAATAGAGTGGGAGAAAGACGGATAAGAGAACGAGACGAGGTCCAACGGAGGAGGACAGAGTAGGCCGGACTCGTCGTGAAGCAAGAGAGAGAGAGAGAGAGAGAGAGAGAGAGTGAGAGAGAGATAAAAGGAAAAAGATAGAAGACACTGGGTGCTAAGAAGAGAGAAAGAAAGAGCACGCATAACATACGGTCCATAAGTGTGTAGAGTCCTGCGAGGAGGAAAAGTAGAAGGAAGCAACGGCACAGGCACAAAAGTAGTGGTAGTAATAGTAATAGTAGTCGTAGTCGTAATAGTAGTACTAGTAGCAGCAGCAGTAGCAACAAAAGCAGCGGTAGAAGCAGAAGTAACGAAGAAGAAGGAGGAAGAGGAGGAGGAGAAGAAGAAGAAGTCCGAGAGCGTTACCTCCCGGAGGCGCGGCGCCGACGACGTTTGCGACTATAAGTAAGTCTCGCGCGTCGCGTCGCGGCTTAATGCCATAGCCGCGTCCGTGGCGCCAAGAGGAGGGCCCCCTGGCGACGATAAGCCTTCTTGCTTGTCCGTCGCGAACAGAGAAAAAAAAGAGACAGAGAGAAAGAAAGAGACAGAGAGAGAGAGAGAGAGAGAGAGAGAGAGAGAGAGAGAGAGAGAGAAAGAGAGAGAGAGGGAGACAACGGGTAGCTTTCACCCGCGTTTTTGAGCAGAGCGTTATATACCCCGCGCGGGTTGTGGATCGCGACAGTGTAGATAATAGCGTGGACTAGTGCCGGTGGTGCATGTCTGGCTTGTCCAGTTAACGCAGTGTGTCCGCGACAGTCAATGTGATTGTCAGTGATCTCCGTTCTTTTTATCTTTCATTTCGGTGTTAAATCGTTAATCGTGCTTTGTGTGTCATTGCATCGATTTCTCTTTTTATATTGTTATTATAGGAGAAGAAGAAGAAGAAGAAGAAGAAATAAAAGGAAAAGGATTAGACAAGGATAACATCGTTAAAAGAAAGATAAAAGAATCCTTTGGTGCTTGCCCTTTGTCATAAAGTTACCCTTTTCCAATTGGACGGTAAACTACTAGATCGAAGAGGGAGGTTTACGAGCTTTGAGTGATTCGACAAGGTACCCTCTCTATTAATCGCAAGGAAGTAAGCTTTCTCAGGATAGTAAGAGGAGGAAAAAGACGAAGAAGAAAAAGAAGAGGAAGAAGAAGAAAAGTAAAAAGAGGAGGATAAAGTAGGAGTGCTTTGAGAGATAATCGTGTTGTTCTTTTTCATTGTTTTCCTTTTTCCCTACTTCCAATTTCTTCTTCCTTTCCTTTCTCCTTTACTTTCTTCCTTTCCTTATAACTTTCTTTTTTCTTTCTTCACTACGTTTCGCGACAGTTGAACGAAGTCGTTTGTACCGCACGCGCGTGTCTCGTCCTCGGTCTCCCGCGAAGAAGACAGATATATACGTATATATCATGTCGGGGCTGCTTTACACGCTTCTCGGACTCGCCGCGAGTACGAGCCTCCACTGTGCCGTCAGGCGCGAAATCAGTCCGTGCACCTGCCGACAAGAGGAGTTCTCCAGTCCCGTTATCAATCCGGCTCAGGCCACGGCCAATGCCGGCAACAATGCTCCTCCGGCGCCTCCTCCTCCCCATCACGGAGGACACGGGGAACGCATCGAGGTCGTCTGCGAACGTATGGACTCCTTCGGGCAACTAGCTGATGCCCTTAGAGGGAAGTTCACCGCCGAACAACAAATCATCCTAAGAGTTTCTCATTCCAATCTCAGGGATATATCACGGCACGATTTCAAGGAGCTAAGAATGTCCATAACCAGGCTCGAACTAAATCACGATCATCTCGAGTGAGTTTGATAATTTTTATTTCCAATAAGATTAACCATTGTTATCAATTATTTTTTCTTCTTCTTCCTCCTTAACGAGACCCCCGCGAAATTTAATTCTTTATCGCGAGAAAATTGATCGATTTATCGATATGATTTCGAAATAATTAATCGATTGACCAATCGATTAATCACAACCTCGTTTCGTGCTATCTCTCTTATCGTTTAATCGTGAGAAATGTTTTTCACTAATATGTGAATATTTATCGATCTTTTTTAACCGATTGAAATCCGATTGATCTCATATCCGTGCGTACTTGATCGAATCGTCCCGAAGATTCTCTCTCTCTCTCTCTCTCTCTCTCTCTCTCTCTCTCTCTCTCTCTCTCTCTCTTTCTCTATCACGCGTTTGACGTTTGACGCGTGCGATATCATTCCTTCCAGATCACCCTTTCCCATAACTTCGACTAACATTTTTCGTCAGCTGTGTTTCATCCAAATGCGATAACAACGATGACATTAGTATTTCTATATTATTTAACAGAAGGAATTCACGCGTGTTCACGAATATGATACGCATGTTGATAAAAGGAGTCTACTATCATTGCAAAATATCGTCGGCTATAATTTCGGACGTTGATTGGATGATGTTTCCATATAAACCAAAAGACATCATTATCGGTTGTCCTAATTTATCGAAAACAAAATAATATAATTGAATCGTTGCATGGAATCCCATAAAAAAGAAAAAAAAAAGAAAAAAAAAGAAAAAAAAAGAAAAAATAAAGACAAGGAGTAAAAGTAAAATAAGAAAAAAAAAAAAGAAAAGAAAGAAAACAAAAAAGAAAATAGATTTGTCGTCCGTCTGCTTCATGCGCGATATCCCTGAATTTTCTCGTTTCTTAGAAAAAATGATTCTTCGGATTTTTTTCCGAGCAACACAAAGGACGTGTACCGGTCTTCCTTGATTATCCTGCCGTGCATACCACGAGAAACGAAGGAAAATGAGAGTCCTTGAAATGCGGACGATCTTCGAGAAGGCGCGTTCTCACGAGCTAAGAAACATAGAGAAACACGAACGTAAGAATGGAGTCTCTTAATCGTTGACCTTTTCGAAAGAGTTATCTCGGGAAGCCCTGCATTTATCATCTTGCAATAATTAAATAACGAAACGCTCCGCGAGCCAACGTTAAGTGAATAATCCTATGATAGTAATCGTACCCCCTTTTCGCAACAACCCATCTTCTACGTATGTATTTGTACTGCGATTTTTCGACTCTCGATTAAAAGCAATTCATTTCAATTTTAATTTCTCCGAGATGAAGATGATTGAGATAATTGAAAATTTACGTCATTCGTTTTTTCCTTTGACGATTAAAGTCAACTTTAATCAATCCTAAACTCACTTTAATCGCTAATCCTCTTGTTTACGTACAGATAAAACAAAATACAAAAATAAAGAAAAAAATGAAGAAGAAAACAAAAAAAAACAAAAAAAAAAGAAAAAGAAAGAAAGAAAGAAAGAAAGAAAGAAGAAGAAAAAATACGAAGACAAAAAAAAATAAAAGAAAAAATTGAAATAAGATTACGAAAAGATACGAGAAGATATATGCCTCCGCGATGTAAAGATTTCTAAGCGACATTACGTTTGCATATTGTTCATTGATTCAAAGAAGCCACGTGTTTCTCAGTACAAGTTTGCGTGTGTGCGAGTGAATACACATATATGCGTGCGTGCTCGCGCGCAAGAACCGAAGATAACGTTATCAAAAGGAGATGCCTTTCCAGCTTCTCTCTTAAAGAAAATTTCGATTTTGCTTATCGCTAACTTATCTCTAAGGATTAACACCCGAACGTAACGTTAAAAAAAAAAAAAAAAGAAAAGAAAAAGAAAAAGAAAAAGAAAAAAGAAAAAAAGAAAAAAGAAAATAAAAGAAAAAAGAAATAAAAAGTAGCTGCATTTCAACGATTAACTATTATATTTATTATTTATTTTAAAGGATCGTTGATGGGGACGTTTTTGCCGGTTTGGGACGGACACAATATTTGAGTCTTGCCGATAACGATGTACCAGCGATACCGAGACACATTTTATCGCATCTTTCGTTACTGAGGACTCTGGATCTTAGCAGAAATCGGATTAGTCGTATCGATCTTGATGATTTTAAGGTAAGCAATAACGACATGATCAATTTTTCCCTTTCGATTTCTACGTATCGATCATCGATTACAAGCGAAAGATAATCGTTTTTCCTTGTTCACGTGAGTGATGCATCGAAAAGAAAAAAGAAAAAAGAAAAAATGGAAAAAAAAAAAGAAAAACAATTTGAAAGAAAATACAATGTGTTTTTCGAAGAAACAGACGGAATATGCATAATGTATGCTTCGCACGCACACGTGTGACGATTCACGTGCAGCGAATTATCGCGAGAACGTTAAAAGCCGCTCGACGATTCGCGATTTTAACTAAGCGAGCAAAATAATTTCTAACGAGTGCCTCGTGCCTCGGATGCACGTTTCTTTTCTTTCTTTTCTTTCTTTTCTTTCTCTCTCTCTCTCTCTCTTCCCTTTCATTGACGTCAGAAGCAAAGAAGAGAAGACAGACGAAAGGAAGTACGAGTTGTGAAAGGGGAACCTCAAGAAAGTATCAATTTGCACTCGGACGACGTACTTCCTTCCTTTTCTCTTTCTTTTTTTTTTCTTTTTTTACTTTTTTTTTTTTCTTTTTTATTCGAAAATCTTACGACGAATTTAATCGAGCTCTCTTTCGTGAAAAAAGATTCGATAGAAAGATGTAACAAGAACATGGTTCTCGCTAAACGATAACCTTCTCTCGTGAAATTCGATCTTTGCGAAATGAGTTACGGACTTTTATGGTAATTATACAAATATATGCCCGAACATTAAAGGGAAAAAAAAAAAAAAAAAAAAAAAAAAAAATCATTCATCGATATCTGTCTTAACGTTTATCATTAATTAGATCCAAACGACAAAGTTAATTGTCGTTAATGTTGTTTCGAAATAGATAACACAATCGTCGATTATTCTTCTTATTGCAGTATAATCCGACGTTGCAGCATCTGTCGATGGCAGGAAATGCGATTTCCGAGATGGTGCCAGGTTCATTGCCACCGTTGGTCAAACATCTTCATGTGGGCCGAAACCGGCTTCACACTTTGAATCGCACTTTACGGTAAGAAAAATCTTTCCCTCGTTCTATTATGACAATCATCCCTTTTTCCCCTAAGAAATCTCTCCCTCGTTCTATTATGACAATCATCCCTTCTCACGGAATGAGAAATAATAATAACGTGAGAAAGAGAGGGGAGAGATAAGATCAGGTAAAACGGGTCTCTCTCGGTCGTAAAAATATTTTCACGTTTTGATCGAGGTACAATGATGTTTACCATTCTCGTACCTCACCACTTATCTAATTGGCTTTATTTATTCATCATTCATCATCGACAACGTTACGACTGAACTCTTTGCTCGACTCAAACGATTAAGACTACGGCTGTTCACGAGAGAGAGAGAGAGAGAGAGAGAGAGAGAAATACAATTAAATTCTTGTAGAGTAGTAATCATGTGTGTGCGTGTATGTGTGTGTGTGTTGAAATCTTATCGGATTATTGAATGAAAAAACGTAAGACCGAAAAAATATTATTTTCGATGGAGACATAAATTAAAAAAGAAAAAAAAAGAAAAAGGGAAAAAAAAGAGAAAAAAGGAGAAAGAGAGAGACACAATCACTTTCCCTCGCAACGCGCAGAGAGGCAAAAAAAAAAAAAAAAAAAGAAAAAGAGAAAGAAAGAATGAAAGAAGAAAAAAAGAAAAGAAAAAATCCAAATGAAATATGTCTTCACGTTTCGCAGGGATCTGAATCAGCTCGAATGGTTGCTCGTAAATTCGAACGAGCTCACATCGTTGGACGGCGAATTACCGTCCTCGGGGCACAATTTAAAAATGCTCTACGCCGTGGACAACAAGCTGACTCATCTACCGATAGAGTTTCGATATCTTCACCGTTTGGAATCCCTTTTCCTTCAGCACAATAAGATTCGTAGCTTGAACGGAGCTTTACAAAAGGCACGGCGTCTGAAGTTCCTCGAGCTTTCCTACAACGATTTGCAGGAGGTAATTTTTAAATATCCATAAACTATTATGCACTCTTTTATTTCTCTCTTGAATGCGCTTTCAACGATGAATCACGATTAAAATGCATTATTTCCTTTTCTTTTTTCTTCTTTTTTTTTTTTCCCCCCCATTTCATTTCATCATAATCGATTCTCATAATCGAAACTTTCTCGAGTGCAACGTAACGTGTGAACAAAAAAAGAAAAAAAAGAAAAGAAAAGAAAAGAAAAGAAAAGAAAAAAGAAAAGAAAAGAAAAAGAAAGAAAGAAAAAGGACGAAAGAAAGAAAAAGAAAAAAAAGCTTCGCTGTATGTTTTATTAGTTAGAAGAAGAGTAGCCGCCCTCAGGGCGTCGTATCGAGCACGCGCGGATACATGCGAGAAGTCGTACTCGTGTGAAGCGTGTTGTACATACACGTGTCTCTCTCTTTCTTTCTCTCTCTCTCTCTCTCTCTCTCTCTCTTTTTCTTTCTCTCTCTTTCACACACACTCTTTCTCCTTCTGTCGCACGCAGCATCTCAGCCGCAGCATCTCTGCTATATACAGTATATAGCAAGGGACTCGCGCGGAGGCGTCTCTAGAGCGTGCCGTGCATTAAGTCAATTACCGCAACGTAACATAATTATTATGCCGAGTAGTTCCGTCGCGCAGATTAAAGCTTCATTCGAGCGGACGTTTATCGGATAAATTCTTCCTCTCAGCCCCCGTTCGAGATCGGCTTATCTCTAGAAAGCGATTCTTAAGGGGCTTCGATCTCGACGTTTACGATTATTTATCGTGACGCGAGCTTATACGATGTTCTTCTATCTCTTTCCCTCTCCCTCTCTCTCTCTCTCTCTCTCACTCACTTTTCCTTTATTTCTCTTTTTTTCTTTTATTTTTTTATTTTTATGGGAGTTAGAACAAAAAGAGATTACATACACCACGTAGATGCATTCGTCATTGAAAGAGAGAGAGAGAGAGAGAGAGAGAAAGAGAGAAAACTTTCATTCTTTTATCTGAATCGTCGCGACACGCCGATCATCGTCGATCGTACGTACTCTCGTGTGTTTTTCCGCGTGTAAATGCAAAGAGAGTTCCAATCTGAGAGAGGAGCTTATCGTCGTTTGAACGTCGTTTCAAATGGAGCGAGACTCGATGACGACCATTGAGTTCTCCCGACGATTCATTGACTCTTCTCTTCTTCTTTTTTCTTTTTTTTTTTTTTTTTTTTTTTTTTTTATATATATATATATCTTTTTCTCTTATGTTTTAGATTTGTTTAAGAAAACTACTTTGAAATGATTATTATTACTGTAAAATTGATTAAATAGGAGAGAGAGAGAGAGTAATTTTGTGTTTATTAATTAATAAAATAAGACTTGTGTTAAGTTCATAGAAAATACTTTAAATGTTTACACTTCAGCTGAACGAAGAGGACTTCGTGGAAGTTGAGATGCTGGAAGATCTCGAGCTTGGACATAACTCTTTGAAATCTCTTGGTGGTACTAACGAAGATGGAAGCGGGGCTAATAGTGCCCTTTACCCTCTCAGGTCTCTCAAATGCCTGAACTTGACGCACAACGAGCTACGAGAGTTCTCATTCGCTTCGTTGCGTGGTTTGCGTGAGCTACGATTACTCGATCTTTCCGATAATAGAATAGCTCGATTACGTAGAGGAAGAACACCATCGGAGGTGAGCAACCATTCGTTTCTATGCACGATTCTATTATAATAATTCTAAAAAATACCTTAAAAAATATTTAAGTATAAATTAATTTTAAGATTATATATATATATCATTTTTTAATTTACGACAACAATTTCTTTGTCCCAACGAATATAAAAACGTAGGAATGAAATGCCATCATAAATTTCATATATAATCCTACAATTTATAAAAGCATTGACGTTTATTAATTAATATATGCTATTATACATTACTCTAATACATATACATATATATATATATATATATATATATATATAATCCTAAAAGTTCAATAGAGTTTGTTATACTATCATCCTTGTGATATTTTAGAATTAAAAAAAAAAAAAGAAAAAAGAAAACATAATAAAAAAATATCGAATTGAAAAGATCGATTGAATCTTCGTAGAATTTGGTCGAAGAGGAAGGTGACGAGATGGCAGGTGGTAATATTCAGGACATACGACTACAACATAACGAGCTTAGGAGTTTAGAAGGTTCTCTATTCGTCGGTATGAAGGAACTTCAAAGACTCAATCTCAGTCACAATGCGTTAGGTCCAATGATTGCTCTTCGTGATCTTCGTGGTCTCGATCGTCTTCGTGTTCTCGATCTATCTCACAATGAGCTCATCACGCTCGAGGACACTTCTGAGGTAAGAGAATCAACATATCGTCGATAGTTTTCGTTAAATTTTCTTTTTTCTTTTTTTTTTTTTTTTTTTTTTCAAATAAATTTCATTCAATTAACTCGAAACTTTTATAAAACTCAGACGTGGCTGCCTGCATTGGAAGAATTAAATGCTTCGCATAATCGTTTGATTACGCTCTCTGGCCGAGATTTCCGCGGTTTTCCTGTATTATGTTCGGCAGACGTCAGCGCGAATCGGATACGAACGCTGATGCCGGAATTAGTTGCGAATACTCGTTGTACCATTCACGGTGTCCCAGATGTCCTTCGTATATACCTTCAAGGTGAGTCATTTTTTATTGTTATTTCATTCGAAGTGAGCTAACAAGATAAACGTGGATAATTTATATATTGATCCCTCTTCTTTTTTTCTTTTTTTTTTTTTTTAATCGTCTTCAACTGAGACGCTTTTAAAATCGACTCGATAAAAAAATTCGAAAAATCATGATCTTCGTTCAATTGTCTTTTCACCCTTACAATGATTAGATCAGTCGACACGCATCTACTGAATGGGCGCCAGTATGTAATTAATAAACACGTCGTTGAGTTGGACGAAGGAAAAAGAAATGGGTGGGAAAGACAGAGGGAGAGAAAGAGAGAAAGGGAGAAAGAAAGAGAGAGAGAGAAAGAGAGAGAAAGAGAGAGCGAGGACGAGTGACGGCAGAAAATAAATTATTCCCTGATAGCAGCGTGATTCCGTTTGGCGCCCGAGCGAGACGTACATACATTATTTGTTACAACGAGTTACATTTATCGCGATAACCCCCCATTCGTGGCGCCATCTCGCATTATTTATTGTATCGTACGTGGCCGATCGTGCTTGTTATTATTGTTTAATACAGTAGTCGCGTAGCTGTTATCACGACCCTTCCACGTTATCTCAACTAGTCTCGATATTTTTCGGACTCCTCTCTCTCTCTTTCGTTTTTTTTTTTTGTCGTTATACTAATATAAATTCTCATCATTGATCTTTCATCCTAAGAGTTTGCATAATGCAAGGTCCAAAACGTGCACAATAAAAAAATGGTAATATTTTCCTCAGGAATCGAACGAGATCGATCTAATCTATGTTATTAAAGTCCATATTATTTAGACATTAAAAATGATCGAGTAGACATAACGAACCACGACTTTGTTGATAGAATGGAAATATGATAATCGATAGAAAATTTGTTTAATTTTTCGTTACAGACAATCCGGTATTATGCGATGCTGGTCTGGCCGATCTAACGGTTGCCCTCGAAGTGAATCATGCAAAAGTTTACGGAGTGGCAAATAATTGTCCAACAACGACATCGTCAATGCCAATCGAATCAACGTCATCTTTACCACCCTTACCACCAACACTTTTATTGGCAGCTGCCGCGGCAGCCTCGGGGGCTAATGTTTCTTTTGCCGCGACCCTCGAATAAGTACTTCTCAATGAGAGGGCTAAACTTGGTCGAACCGGAGTAAGTCAATAAAAAGAAGCGAGTTTGTCGCCTCGAAGGAGTTACTCGGTGTGCTTCTTCCGTACCTGGAAGACACGAAGGAAAGTGTCTCAAGTTGTTCGTTCGGAACGATAGAACTAACAGAATAATTTCGCATATCGTCGAAATAATCAAAGATCCATTCTGGTTAGTCAACTCAATCATGCCTAAAGACGAAGAGAGAGATTTCGTCTTCGGCTATTCCGATATTATCTACTTGTTAGCTCGAGGAAAAAAAATCGATGAAATTAATGTCCCTTCGATGACATACATTTATGTACATATGTACGCGACTAAGATCGGTGAGATCTCCTTTTTGATAGCAAACTTATTCTCGAAAGTGTGCATATCATAATACGATAATATGTGTAATATAACATCGTCTAGTTGACGAGAGAGAGAGAGAGAGAGAGAGAGAGAGAGAGAGAGAGAGAACGAGAGAGAGAGAGAGAGAGAAAGAGATAGAACTGCTTCTTGTATACTGTTCTAATGTATATAACTTTGAAGCTTTTTGTTAATCAATGAACGCTTTTGAAAGACGCTGTTATATGTCACCGATTATAGTAGAAACAGTCGCGGATCACGTAATAGAGTCCGTTAATAGAGAATTTTATTGTTTTAATGGACATATTTATTTTTTTTCTTTCTTTTTTTTTTCTTTTTTTTTCTTTAATTAATTAATTAATTAATTATTATTATTATTATTATTATTATTATTAATATTATTATTATTATTATTATTATTATTATTATTATTATTATTATTATTATTATTATTATTATTATTATTATTATTATACCGTCCGGCTGGTAATTTCGAAATTATCGATCCTTTATTTTTCTTATTATCTATGCAAAATATAAGCTGATGAAAGATCGCGGTTTTATAGAGACAAAAATAAACGATTAATGATCATTAGTCTCGGTTGAACGATAGACAACGTTATTGTATTCAATGTAAATAACTTCTTTAATACATGTATACTTCTTAGATGTGTTGTGTTGTAATGAACGCGTTTTTCGTTATAGTAGATTTACGTTATCGTTTCGCCGTTAATCGAAGTTATAGCTTTATTCTAAAAATTCCATAATCGAAAAAGAACATGCGTTACCAACGATAAATATTAACGAACGTGGCACAAAACTCGATAAATAGATTGACGAGCACAGCTAAATTCTATTTAATAAACACTTCAACGATTCATTATAATTGTATACATTTTGACGTATTTATATGGAATAGCCTGTTCATCCAATAGTAAATTCATTCAATACATGTTAGTAAGGAAAATTGTGGGAGAATAGATGTTAATGACCGACGATCTAATAACTTGATTAGACGATATAATTAATAGATTTTTGAGGGGGGGGAAAAAAAATCTAAATCGATAATCTCTGCACGAATCTCAACGTTATTAGATCGTTAGTTAGTATTGTATTAATAATGTACCACGTACGATGTGATTACCTAGCGTGTTAATTCGAAATTAATCTTTTAATGAGCCAACCTACGATGATTCTCTTGTAATAACAAATCGTGCAACTCGTTCGAAATGTTTTTTTTTTTTCTTCTTACTAAAATATCTTTTGTTAACTCTCAGTGTTTGATTTATGGTTTAAATCGCGTCGCCTGCTAGGTTTTAATCGTATCACACATGGTCATGGTACCGTGCAAATACGGCTGTCATTCTACGTAGTAGTAAATCATCGATTCCCATCGACCAAACTTCGATCCATAATTAATTTCTTCGATAGCCGAGCAAACGATTGGCCCACGGGTCAATGGAGCAAATGAAATCTGTTAGCTTACGCTCTGCTCAAGATATAGGCTGATTGGCAGTGGGCGATCAATTGACCCTCTCGTTAACTAGTGCCAATAGGGATGAATTGTTATAAGTTCGTCTCCTTGCATACATGATACATTGGCCCTTTCCGAGTAACGCGATTTCTTGAATCGCGATAAGAATAAGATTTTTCTTACACGTTATCGATACTTGGACCGGCACTGAACAAATAAATCTAATGACAAATTCAATGAAAGAAACTCAATTTTAATCTAATGTTTCTTATACGTCATTTTAACAAATCGATATCATTTGCAAACGTATCCATTAACACAAGTCATTTAATATAATTGCCTCCAGCCTCATATGGCTTGAAATTTAATTCTACGTCTATTACTATTACCTGTAGTATTTTTAAACACAGAAATTGTAATTAAGAAAGACACAGAGAAGTCATAAAGCAGCTATTAGTATAAACATTTGTTATATGTAGAAAACAGCCGTTAGCGCCGACTGCTAGCTAAATTAGCTAGAACTCAAAATCGAGATAATTTAATTCCTAAGTATTTTAAATTAGCTAATTTTATGGGTGCTACGTAAGGATATAAGAGAATTCATGATTTTAATTTACCATAGATTTTATTTCAACGTAAAGAATATTTCCAGACGAGAGACCTATTCTTTTTTTTTTTCTCTCTCTTTTTTCTAATTATCTACTTGCGCACGAATCTTTATTCACTTGTATAAATAAATAGTATAGCACCCATAATACGGATGTAAAACTTGACTATAATGTAGGTGCCATATATAAATATACAAAAGACAAAGCAGATACCTGTTAATAACTTAGTCTCTAAGTAATTTATCTGTACTGTGATTTGCAGTTTCTTATTTCCAACATAAATATCTTTAAGTAGACGAAAAGCTAGGAGTAACCAATACTCGTACGAGATGGTAAATATTAAAAAACGAAGAAACATTACCATAACGATTATAAATCTTAAATTTTAATAAGAACATACTGATAAGTCTACAGTTGGAGTGTCACAAGTCCTATATATATATATACATATATACATATATATATATATATATATAACAAATCGTTTTAGATACTTTAATTTTTATTAATAAAGACTTTACTCTTCTAATTTCCATACTATAAAAGTATACTTATCCTTTAATTATTGTCATTACTAGTATAATACTAGTATTATAATAAAAGCATTTAATGTACAATCGATATTTCTAGCTTCCGTCCATATAATACTTTAAAAAGACAATCCTTAAAAGACACAAAAATGCAGTGATGTTGGAGACTTGTGATTGCCTAGTAAAGTCGACAGTGCCTTTTAAATCGATCATATGTTCTTTCTTAAGCGTAGGCTGTATTTCCTTGACTAATAATATAAGAACTAAGTATTAATTGCATATATACTTAGTTTTAATATTAAAAGATAGAGACAAATACATACCTTTCCACAATTCGTCTTCTTTAATCAAATGCACATAATATTTATCCTTTGTATGTTCGTTGTTTTTAAAAAATGATACCTTCACTTCGTCATAATCTTCTTTATCTTCTATATTGATACCAAAATTCAAATTACATTTGTAAATATTTGTAGCTCTCTTAATAGCATCCCAATCCTTGCGTTTTTTCTCTTTTCTTTCTTGTACCTCTATATAAAAATACATATAAATAACTATAAATATTCTTATTATCATATACATATATATATATACATATATATATATATATACATAGATTTTGTGTACATATGTACCTTGTTTTAAGTCAACCAATTCCAGAGATAAACTGTCTCTGTACGCCTTGACTTCTGCTATGTCTTTTTGTAATATTTCTTCTTGTTTGATCATATTACTGATCTTTTTATCTACAATTTTTTGATTCAACATTATATCATCTATTTCGGACTTTAATGTTTCCAATTGTTTTTGTAACTCTGACATTTTGATCAAATTTGTTTCCTTTATTTGTGAATATTCTGTCAAAGAAAAAAGAAATGAAAAAAATTGAGAAAAAATAATGTATACTATTTATTCTTCACACATCTTTCATATTCCAAAACAAAATTTGTCAATAGTCATACAATTGTTACATAATTAATAAATATTTACTCACAACTTGATATCACTGGAAGCTGTATTAGAAAATTGTTTATTATCAATCAAAAAGAATATTTTGTATTAATTTTTTGACATTTACCATTTTTACCAGCCGTTGCATTCTCTATCTTTGAAACGACGTGTTTTTCAAATTCGCAACAAAATGATGATAATTTTTCCAATACAGTAAAGTCACCATTTTGTAAAACATGAGCAATATCACATTCGTATTTTTCGATTCCCATCTTGTATGATACACTACATAATTAAGAAAAACTTATTAATTACTAGTTAAAGCGCGACAAGAGAAATCGTCCTAAACGTTTACAGCCGCCATATTTTTACGTTCGAACGCATTCAAATATCCAGTATTGCCAACATATCAAATCAAATATCTCTAATATACAATTGTATCATTAAAGGGGAGAAAACAAAAAAAAAATCTCTGATAAATTTTGTATTTATATGTAATCTTAAATTCTCCATTAGATTTTTAATCACATCCATTTTATCATAATAACACATCATTAATATATTACGTCAATTAATATCTCATTTGATTAATTCCTGTACTCTCGAAAACATTCAAATATCCTTATTTTTATTGAATTTCAATAATTTTTTTTTTTTTTTTTTTTATTAATAACAATTTGAATTTAGCTAAAGATTTACAGAACAATCTTTATAGTAAATATATAGAACAGTTAGAAAATATAATTCAAACACACAATATCTATCCTAAACAATGGAAAATTACTGAAAAATTAGATGATAAAAAAATTAATACATGTCAATGCATATTAGTATAAATATACAAATGTCTACAAATGGGACATTACTTTATACAATCATCCTTTGTAATTATTCTGGCATTAAAGTTTTTTTGTAAAAAACATAATAATTATTATTAATCAATTTTGTCTTGCATATCAGAAATGCATATCTGTATCTGGATCTGGATCTGTTGATTGCTCATCATTCCAACATGCTACCTCTACCATTTCCAAATTTCCATCCTCTGTTAAAGTCAATAATTGCTTGGTTGAACTATCTTTAACTTTAACCATCATATCAACGTCGCTATGCGTCGATGCTAATTCTGTAGGATGCATAAAATTTTCATTTACATTAATATGTTGTAAGACTCTAACATACATCGGTTGATCTGAAGTAGATGTTTCATCTAAAATTAATAATTCATTGCGATTTATCTTTTTATTAAAAAAAAAAAATATATATATATATATGTTTGTTCATGTATTATATCATCGAATATGTTTTCTTTCTCTTACCATGTTCAAGAATATTTGAAATATTTGAAATATGTAAGTTTTCAGGGTTTGCTAATCGTATCACAGGTATATTTTCATTAGTAATTTGCAATTGTGAATAAGTATGGAACGGTAGGATTGGCATATTCTGCTGAACGCTTCTTTCTATATCAGACATTTTTGTCAGATCTTCGTCAGTATCTTTTATAGAAACTACTAGCAGAAAATAAATGATTAGCACTCTCGCTAGAAATGTATATTTTTAGATCTTTACCTTTTTCTCTTTCATGCTCTTTTAAAATTTCCATTTCATTTTGATGCTTTTTTACGTTGCATTCGTGATTTATTACTTGATGATCTCCAGAGAATTGTATGTCACATTTATCGCAAAATACTTTCTGTTTTATGTAATCTCGTATATGATGAATCATGAACGAATTATGATGCGTAGTATATTTACATTTATCGCATTGCATCCAAACATTTTTTTTGCCTTTATTATGTTCCATAGTATTAACGCATAATATATCATCTTTTCTTTTGAAACATTTATTAGAATTATGATTATTAGATCGTGTAATTTGTGGTGGTTGTGAAGGTTTAGGTTTCTCGCTGTTGCCTAATAGCTCTCCTTCTTCTAAAGAATATTTTTGTTCTAAAAATCGTAAAACATTTTCTCGTACATTACGCATTTCTGTTTCTAATCTATCAAGAGTGTTAATGAGATTAGCACAACTACGACAAATCACATCATCTTCTGATATGACAACCATATATCTGAAATATATATATATATATATATATACATATATACGTATCAATTGTAAACAATATTTAAACTATTAGAAATAATAAAATAATTATATTGGAATAATATACCTTTCGCCAACTAATTCACCTAATTTTTCAATAACTTTAGACCTTGAACTCTGTGTCCTACATGTTGCTAAAGCATAATAACGTCCTTTTACAATTACATCACAAACAAAACATTGTAAAAGTGGTGTCAGTGGTGAATCATTATTTTTATTATCGATAATAGAATTACTTGCAGTACTGTTAGAAACATTCTGATCTTCAATATTAATTACCAACGTTGAATTTACAGTTGCCATTTGTAAGAAGAGAGAAAAAGAGAGAGACAGAGAGAGAGAGACAGAGAGAGAGAGAGAGGAAGAGAGAGAAAGAGAAAAAGAGAGAGATTGAATGTTAGACAATTCTTTTGTCAAAATGTATATAGGTTAAAAAATATGAACATCGTTATTATTTGTTATACACTCAGATGTGAACTGGGATATGTGCCATTGTTAAAAGCAGAATTATATCAGAACGATTTTCATTTCCTAATTAGTTAAAAAAAAAAAAATAAATAAATAAATAAATAAATAAATAAATAAATTATTGAGTCTCTTAAGATATATGTTGCACATGTTTTTTTCATAAGGTCATACACATAGAAAATATTTTTAAATTGCAATATATCCAACACAAATATGAATGTATTTAATAATGTTAAGTTTATTTATTCATTGTCTACAGTGACATTTTATTATATACTCATTTACATGTTAATTAAAAATCAATATCTACCGTCTTTTCTTTGTTCTGTTACTCCACATACCTGGGACTCACAAAGAATTAACCACTATTTTTTTTTTCGCACAATTGTACTAAGAGATACTTATATGAAAAGTTATTCTTTTTTTTTTTTTTTACAGCATTTTTTTTATAATTTTGTATTGCTGTTAGACATGTGCGTATGAAATGACTTTTGAATTACAAAGGAATTGAACATCGTGAAGTTTACAATAGTGTAAAGCGTACATTTCAGACATGCCCTTGTACCAAAAAAGAAAAAAAAAAAAAAAAAATCCAATAAGAACCAAGCTTAGTACCATAATATTGAAACAATTTGATATCTAGTTTCCATTTATGGTTGAATAAGAGTTATTAAAAACTTGATCGCAATGTTCTTTCTATAATCTGAATAAAATTATCAGCTCTATAGTTTTTAAAACCAAAACAATATCTCAAAATTATTTACTTTTCTTAACTCGCTCGACTGTGTCTTAGAATAGCTTTCAACTAGTTACATGAGAAATATTACATCGTAATCTCTAAGTAATCGTACAATTCTGTATTTCAACGATATAAAATAAAACTTAACAATCTACTATTGTACGCCAAGTTATCAGATTAAAAGACAACCACATATAAAGACAATGTACGAACAGAAGGGTATGAGTGAAACGTACTGATAGTAAATTTTCGAACAATTATATATCCACTTTTTCACATTTTATCTTCGTATCTTGTTTTTTGTTATTACTTTCATTATCGTTTCCCTCGATCTTTTCGTTATCTCTTTCCTTTTCCTTCCCATGTTGTTGCTGTTGTTTTTTGTCTGAATTACGAAAACGATCATAGCGAGAATCTTCATCATCGCTGGACTTTGTTCCTGGCTCAGTCTCTCTCAATATATCACCTAAATCTTTATCAACGTCATCCCACAATTTAGCACCGCCATCGCCATGATAATCATCGTCATCGTCCTCATCTCCCTGACCATTTTTATTGACCTTTGCATTTTTCTCCGTTTCAATAGCGTTCAATTTCTGTTCGACAATTTTCGCATTTTCCATACCATTGTTATTGCCATTCGTAGACAATGGTTGAGTACCGCTCGTCGATGTAGGCGTTTCAGAATTCGTTAAAGCTTTTGTAGTATCGGACGTGTTGATAGCGTTGGAATTAGTACTTGTATTTACAGAAGACGACGACTGAAGGTGTATTCTTTCTGCTTCTCTTCGTAGCGCTTTATCATCGTTATCTCGTACATACCTAAATATATATAAACCAAATTTCAAAGTATTTTATTTGGTATATATATATTATTTTATTTTATTTTATAACAGCGATAATGACTATTATAATACAATAATTTACCGTTTCAGATGGCTTCGAGTGGAACAATGAAGCGCCACTGCTCTTTTACTGTTTTCACTACGCGGCAGATAAACTTTACACAACTCGCAAAATTGTACTTCTACGCGTTTTATATATTCCGCTCCCACTTTAATCATTTGTTTATTCTTTGGCTTCTTTTCAGCCTCGCTCACATTTTCACCCTCTGTCGTCTTTTCTTTTTTTTTATCGCTACTTTCTTCGTCCTCTGCAACAGGTACAATTTTATTTGTTTACAAACAAAGATCTAAAAAAGAAAAAAAAAAGGAAAAAAAAAGAAGAAGAGAAGAACGACGAACGGAAGGAAAAAAAAGAAAACGGAAAAAGAACAGCAAAAAAAAAAAAAAAAAAAAAAAAAAAATAGTAAGCAAAGGAAAATATAACAAGACGCGTATTAATTATTATACCGTACCATCCACATCGCCGACAGAATCTAAAGTCATGAAGTTGTCCAAATTGACTTCTTTATCGTCTTCCTCGGGACCACTGGAATCTGCCTCTGCCTCATCATTTCCAGCGTTCATTCTTTCTTTCCATACGCTTTTCCTCTGAAAGGATAAAACGAAACTCGATTGTACCTTCATATGTACGTACAATCAATGAATTTTGAAGTTTTAAAAGAAAAATTACCTTTATGTGATCGAGAGAACACATGTGCGTTTCGAAGAGCATTGGCGATCTGAATTGAATACGACAAACACGACAAAACGGTGTGAGGAATCGTTTCATTTGACGATGCGATTCTGACAATTGATGTATTGCTTTTAGAGAACGATAGTTTAATTTGCATATAGGACAGAACATGGTACGAGAGGGTAATGTACCACGAATGGCATCGCGTGCTTCTACTCGTCGCTGTTCCTGTCTTTGTAGAACTCGCATACGCGTAAGAGTTGCTTTGTGTCGAGATGCGATACGTCTCATAGCTGCACTGTGACGTCCAGAATATAGATGAAGAGAATATTCTTTAAAGGTAACGCTACGATGTGCACAATGTGGACAATTTAATTTGATGAATTTTCTTCCATCACGTCTACTAGGTAATTCCTCCGAATCAGCATTTCTACCATGTTCGTTTTTATCATTTTCATCTCTTTCTTCGTCATCGCCATCATCTTCCTCGTCCTAAAGGATAACAACGCAGCAAAAAATGGTTGCTTTAGAGATAGAGCAAAGAGAGCGCTTAGAGAGTCTCGTAGGAAATACGACAATTCTAGAATATTCCCTACCTCCTGTTTCGTATCTTCCTCGTCCTCCTTAACTTCGTCATCTTTCTCTTCTTCATCTTCGGTATTTTGTCTTTCTCTCTCTTGTTTTTCCTTTTTTCTCTTTTCATCTTTTTTCTTTTTCTCTTCCTCTTCCTCATCTTCCTCCTCTTCGTCATCCCGTTCATGCGGCTGGATTTAACGTTAGAAAGTATTATATACGGTGTGAGGCACAGTTTCTATTTCTCTTGAGAAATGAAATGCCTGGCGATCAGGCCAGTAGAGATTTTTAACGAAATTACCTTCTCATCGTCATCCCAATTACTCTTGTTATCATCGTCTTCGTCGTCGTCGTCGTCGGAAAACTCAGCGTTAATAGCTTTGGCCATCTCTCTATCCTTGTCCTTCATGCTGCTTCCTGATCCTGACTCCTTTTTACTTCCGGATAGCCTAGTAGTACCGCTACTAATGACACAGCAATTTTTTTTTGACTTACATTATTTCCTTTCATTTTGTTCTGCTTCCTTTGTCTTTCGTTTAATCAGCAATCAAAATTTGTTTCATAGTTGATATACAGCAAATATCGCGATAGTATTCATTGCTCTTATCCCCCATAATGAGAATGCACTTCGTTTTGCAATAAAGGTCAACTATTTCAGCCTTTTTGCATTGCATTGTGCTCTTGTGGTTTCGCATGTTCGCGTCTTAAAATACTTATATGTATATATTAGAAATAACGTTCTTTTATACTGCATTTTATATATATATATATATATTTATATATATATTTATATTTTTTTTATTTTATTTTTTTTATATTTTTTTTTTATACTTTTTTATATTTTTTTTATTATTTTTTTTTTTTTTATTTTTTTTATTTAGTCACTGCTATGTGGAAGAACGATAAGTAATGACATCATAAAGTACAAGTATTTTTTAGTTCTCGTATCAAAAGTAATTACATTGCATTTGGATGGTACGCACACATCGTATTTATGCGCACCACATTATGATCAATTCCCTCGGTATTACGACCCTGTCAAAAGTATGCCTCTCGGCAATATGTAAACATTTGTTTCGTGCGATCATTTGTGTCAGGTTTGTTTATTTATATATATATATTTATTATTATTTTTTTTTTTTCTTTTACCATTTATACATGTCTATATCGTCGTCGTGACTCTCAGGTCATTGACATAGCCAGTTTGTGTACTGACGGATAAGCAAGCAGGCTACTAGGACGGTATTGCGGTTGGTAAGTGACTTATTAATTAGTTACCTCCTGCGCAATTTGGTAGTTGTCATGCGCATACGCTGGATGTAGTCTCGCGAACGCGAACCTAGCAGCTTGCGCCGATAGTCGAGCGAGTGTAGGGTACGCTTGCGAGCCATGATGACGTCCGATCGAGAGCTCATCCGATGAAATCCACCCCCTCGACTGCTGCCGCGAGTGGAAATGCGACCTCTGTAGTTAGAGCTTTGATGCGATATTCTTCCTCGACTAGAGTTGTATCTCTGAGTCGGGGGCGCCATCTCGCTAATGCGAGGGGGTGGCGGAGGTGCATAGCTCCGTGAAGCCGAATGACGGTCCTCCGAACGGTGATATGACGAGGCTCGTTCGCTCTGTCTCTTGTCCTCATAAACCGCCGACGATGACGAGCCCTTATTGTCATCGTATGGAGCCGATGCCGATGAACCACCGTACGACGAGGAGTACCTCTGCGAACCGCTACCGCTACCACCTCCACCCTGCCAAATCAAATTCAATTGTGCTCCTTCCCTTTTCTCTCTCTTTCTCCATTCCTGTCATTCTCTCTTATCACATACATACATATGCTTGGTATTTTATTTTATTTTATTTGACTTTATTTATGGATTTATGCATTTATTTATTTATATTTTATATATATATATATATCTCTCCCCTCTTTCCCTCTCCTATCATATAGACTTTTTTTTCCATTCTCCTAGAAGTATGTCTTAATGTCATTTTCAATTATTACTTATCTAGCTTCCGTAGGTTCTTTCGAGCTTTCCTCATTTACCTTTTGCAATAGTGCCAATCATTTATACTTTAATATCATCCAACCTTGTACCGTCACGGTCACTACACCCATTCTCGTTGGATCACCGATTTATACCTTATAGATTTACCTCCCTAATGTATCTCTAAATAATGTCGCTGAACTTAGCATATAATATTGCACATTGCTCTTTTTGCATAATTTAAACAACTTTTTTTTTTTTTTATACTTTTCCGGAAGTTCAATATATCGTTCTTGCTGATTCACGCTCGTTCGTTTTTTTTTTTATTTTTTATTATTATTATTTATTTTTTTTTTTATATATATATATCTTTGAGAAATGTAAATTACATTACCAGCATTTATTACTTTCTTTGAGATATCAAGTGAATTCTGTTAGATTGCAGATAGAAGTCTTTGAAATAGACCTTTCCAACTTCCTGAAGGAAAGAGCAGCACCGTATAGAATAATATTAATAGTAAAAAATCCTTTTTTATTATTATTATTATTTTTTTTTTTTCATTCTCTGCCGTTCGATTATTATTGTCATATAAACTTGGGAATGAAATGAAGCTAATTGAGAGATAGATCTTTATACGATTGTACATTCTTCTACATAGTCTTCAGAAGGGCGAAATACTCGAGAAAAATATTTGATAGATATTCGATCATTGATATATATATATGTATATATATATATATATATATTTTTTTTTTTTTTTTAAACCTTTCCGGTATGCCTTAGTTGGGAAGTTTATATCTCGGATCATGCACGAGTGGATGCATAGACATATAAAAAGTTGATACTTATTATAACCTTCTCAGTTTTTAGTAATCAGAATCAATATAAGATGCATGTTCTCTGTATTGGAAAGGTCTATGCGTTTTTCATAGAGTCAAGAAATTCGCACGTCCTTTAAATTATATAATTTAGAAAATCTGTCGTATATAAGGTAGTAGGTTTATTATTTGCAGTATCAACTGTTGGAGCAATGCGGGGATGCTGTCAATATTTCAATAATTTGATTTCTAACTGTGCACGAAATAGCGGTTTCATAGCACATATTGCTATATACAGAGAACAATGCTGATGCAATATGAGCACAATGAAATCCATACTTCTACATCTATTCGTCTGTTCGCTCAGTTATCTTTCATGACTGTGCGTGGATAACAATTTAAGTACCATCTAGGTATATATTTCATCTTTTATTTGATGCATTCGTAGTGTTCCACCAGTAGTGTCCCAACGCAAAAAGAATGGGTGTTCAAGTAGCCGTTGGCTCGTCGCTTGAAAGGAAATTATGACATCTTATGAATACCTTTTCTACCGCTTTTTTTTTTTATAAAATTTTTTTTTTCTTTTTACAGACGAATGTCCTGAAATTGTTTTGCAGTTAAATAGAAGCTAATGTTCAATTTTTCGTGTTCAATAGACTTATATTTAAAAAAAACTTTTCAGGACAGTCGTTTCAAGTTATACTATATTTTTTTTCTTTTTTTTTTTTCTTTTTTTTTTTTTTTTTTTTTTTTTTTTTTTTTTTTTTTTAAATTTCGAGAAACTGTCTGAAGAGGACCTTTTAAGGCCGGTAATTTCTTCTTGACCTTAGGATTGTAGAATCAGAATGGAGCTGCCTAAGACTTATTTACAACTTCTTTTATATTAAAATTTGTCTAATATCACCTCATAGTGTACATACCTGATAAGAATCGCTTCTAATCCTTTTGCGGGTGGAATCTCCAGAAGAACGATGATCATCTCTACCAGAATAAGATTCCTAAGGAAGATGCATATACAAAATGATATATTAAACATCTGATTAAAAAGAAAAAAAAAGAGAGAAAGAAAAAAAAAAAAAAAAAAAGAGAAAAGATATTTACTTTTTATAATTAATACTTACACGTGGGCGTTTATAACTATTTGAATGTTCACCTCTACCACCTCTGCTTGAATATCTTTCAGATCCACCTATGAAGATGAAAAAGAAGAAAAAAAAAGATAAAAAAAAAGAAAGAAAAAAGAAAAAAAAAAAAGAAGAAAAATAGAAAAAACAGTCACTAAATGTTCATCTATTTAATAGGTAATAATCAATGTTATTTTTAACATTTGGCTAACCTGAATTGTATTTAGAACGTGAATCATAACTGGTAGTAGAATATTTAAATCTGCCTCCTCTCGAAGAGGAATAACTTCCTCTATTTGACATATTTCCTCCGGTAGATCCTCCACCCCAATCACTTCCTCCTCCACCTCCTCGACCTCTGTATGAACTACCTCCACGGGAACTAAATCCTCGACCGCGAGAGCTCATAGTAGAACTGTCAATATCAAATATCAAATAAATATTATATGAAATATTATTCATTTCATATTTTTTTTACTTATATCGATAACATATTGCACATTTAAATACATTTGGACAAGGGAACAAATCTTTTTTTCTCTCTCATTCAATAGAATTTCTTCAATTTAATCATATTAATAGGACAATGTTATCAAAGTCAATTTTAATTTGAATAATTTACATTTAATTATAATAAGTGAATTAATTTCATTGTACTAATGTAGAATTGAATTGGCATAGAAATTTATAATATTTAGATGTGCATTCATTATAACACTTATCTACACTATTACTAACCTGTATTTGTTGTAGCCGTAACTCATTTTAGTATACTGATGAGTTACAGAAGTCAGATATGATGACAATGGTCTATGAACAAAACGGGTATGTTTATAGAATATCTTAACTGAAGGAAAGTCAATGAAAGTCAAATATATTAGAATAATAAATATTTTTTAATTGTATATTTAACATTTTCATTTTTGTTCGTTGATATTGTTCATTGGTATATGAATAAAAAATGAATATGTCTCAAACAAAATAGCTGTAGTATAGTATAGTCACAGCTATATATTTTATCACGCACACACACACATATACATACATATATATATATATATAAAATGTAATATACATATATATACATATATATAAAATGTAGAAAAGAGTACCAAGGTGAATTCGGAATCATAATTCAGAAGTTGTGCTATCTATGTACACATACCACGCCATTCTAGGTAACGCACGCGCATTTTTACATATATGGATGCCGATACACACATACACACGTACACACACTTGCGCACTATACACCAAATCTACGTATAATTATTAGATAATTGTGTTTAATAAACTGTTGATATTCATTTTAACGTTTTCAAAGGGGGGAAAAAAAAGGAAAAAAGCGAAAGAAAAATGAATCATCCCGTTGTAATGACCACGTTTACGAGATGTAACGTCATAAAAAATCTGTACCTTCGATGCTTCCCAAAGTGCCCGAAATCACGTATAGAATGGAATAGTCTCGTTGCTTTAAATATCTTCACAAAGTATATTTTTTAATTCGTAAGTTTCTAAGCTTTTAGATATAGAAGAAATGTGAACTATTGTTTAAAAGCATTAGAAACTTAATAGTACGCAAATCGATAAAATCGTTATCGTTTGGCGCGACTAAATGGCTACATTTGTAAAATTCGATATGTTCACGAGAAACGATTATATTTAATCATATATAATAGTATCATTACCTTTTTTAAAATGTGAGATGATCTAGTTGATTTGCAAGTATTATTTGATGATATTTTTGATGAACTTCGAGCTTAAGCTCTCCTGAACGTGCCAATGGATGTAGTACGATGTACGTTCGAAAATAAAATGTCTGCCTCTCTATGCTGTAGCGTCCCACCTCTACCAAGTCCACCGGCCACCATGCGGAATTAAGGAATTGAACCGGAAGTAAGTTCTTTAACCGCCTCCCGGAAATGATACAAACGAAGTCTTTATTTTTCTTTCAGCTTATATCGTCTCCTAGTCGATATCGCGATAAAAAAATAAGAAACAGAATATGCCATAAGGTATATTCTTTTATACATCCTTTTTTATATATACGATTAGATCTTCAATGTCACGCGTATTATCAAATTGATTTAATCGATAGGTCGGTACAAATCTCGATTGTTTAGCTCGATAAATAGATATATTCAAAATTGTATGTTTATCTCAAGGAATTAATTATTAATTAATCAAAGTAATTTAAAATATACAAATGTCGATACGGAAAGAGTAGGTAATAGATAGGAGATATAGAAAGAAAGAAAAAAAAGAAAACAAAGGAATAAGACACAGACAATTCAGTCTCATATGAACTTATATTATACACAGAATAGTTCCAAAATTATTCTCACATTCATTATACATTTATATCATTTATTTAATGCTTATTGTAGAAATAGCTGGCTGATTATTTGAGCATGGAAAACATTTACTTATTGAGCTTATTTTTTTAGGGTTACATGTTCTCTATTGATAATGAGAAAATTTGATTAAGCAATTGATGTCAGCAGTATGGGCGCTTTTTCTTTCCTTCTTTTTTTTTCTTTTTCTTTTTCGTAAGGTCTCTCATAACGATAATATACAAAAACATACAAATCTATTTCACTTTACTCCCGGCACTTTAGCTCTATTTACAGTGACATACATTAACATGCTTCTTATTTTTAAGTCTCTTTATTTATTCAAGTTATTTAATAAATAATATCTACACAGTGCTTGTAGACAATATTTCAGCAGCTGAGTGATCAAAGCTAAACTATTGAATTACATAAGATAACGCCAATGTACAACTGTTATACACAGTTATGCGAGATCTAATGTTTGTGAAACAAAAAATAGAAATATTAGGTGGTCACAATCATCTTATCTCAGAGATTCAATTTATGATACATGATATAACTATGTACATTGATAAAAATAATTTCTGATTCAAAGATAGATCATTAATAGTGAATAGTAATAATAAAAACTATAAATATCTGGAGTTTCGCTAACGAATTAACAACACGCTATATAAATTGTCATAGCGCAACATGTTTTGTTATATTTAAGCAATTATTTGTTTCCTTTTTCATTTTTCTTTTTTAAATATTATCTGTAAGAATATCACTGGGATAAGGTAACATCTTATTACGTTTCGTCTCTGCATATCGTTTTTTGTGTTTTTTTTTGTTTTTTTTTGGTTTTTTTGTTTGTTTTTTTTTGTTTTTTTTTTGTTTTTTTTTTGTTTTTTTTTTGTTTTGTATGATAGTTACTACGGATATAAAATCACCACACACTTTCATCAATTGTTGTTAGCTTTAAATCTTTATACTACGATTGAACATTCTGTATTCAATAATGTTGCACATGAATCATATTAATGACAATTTTTTGTAACCATCAAGGCTATACTCTGCATCTGAATGTGCTTGAAGATAATTCCCATCATTGGAACGACTGTTATCTTAACAGCAATTTTCTATCACAATTGTCGCAAGTTCTTTAATTCTTTCGTACGGCCTCCGATCTATTTTAAGAGCATTCAGTTTTTCTATTCCTCCCTCTTTTATAACTAATGAACAATATTTGTGTGCTGTTTTAACAAAATAAACAAAAATTCATAAGAAATATTAATTTAAGAGAGAAATTATTTTCTATAAAAAAAAAAAAAAAAAAAGAAAAAAAACAAAAGGAAAAAAAAGTAAAAAGAAAGAAAATTAAGAAAAAAGAAAAAAAAAAAAAAAATAAAAGAAAGATATTCTCAGATACGTACGATAAACATTGGTAAGATTGGCGAGTGCCCATACAGCCCAATGTTGACATTCTGGAGTATGGTATATATCCAGCAAACGTAATAGGGGTAAAAATGAACGGTAATTAATGTTACGTTCTGCAGATAAATCCCATCTTTCGATAGCTTGGACCATAAAATCTAAAACTTCATCTCGTCTAGGTTTATCAAGAGTCCAAGCTTCGACACCATCAGATGCCATATGTGCGAGTATACCAGTTGCATTATAGGATACCTATTATTATACAGAATATATATTAACGATAGAAAAGAATAAAATATTTTAAATATCTAATAAAATGTAATACCTCGATGCCATCACTGTTAGAACGTAATAAGTTGGCAAAAACACATACATATCGATGTTGCATAAGATGTACTCTCAAATAATCTACTTCGGCGACATTACCTAATAAACCCATCATGTTCCTCAATAATTCCTCCTTTCCTGGATATCGCTATAGAAAAAATAATAATTATGTCAAATGTTTTTTATATTTATACAGAATATTAGAAATATTAAAATACATACCTTTACACATTTCAGAAATAGTACCATTCCTCTTTCATCTAAAAATCGTTGACAATTTATAGCTGTTTCATCTGTCATATTCCACATTGTAGACCATGCTACTTCCAACACATCATCAAATATTCTAGATTCTACTCTATATTCGACTAATTCAAGCATTGTTTTAACACAACCTAATTTTCCTAAAAGACACTTTTCTCTGCCTTCAACTTGACAAGCTAGAGAATTTAATAAATATATTCCAATACGTTGTACAAATCCTTCTGGCTGTGCATGTTTAGCAGAATGTAAGAGCACTTTCACTAATGCTTCATAATTGAACATCTATAAATATAACATTTGTATTGTTATTATTCTCTAATTTTTTTTTTTTTTTTTTTTCATAGATATTTATAATTATAAAGTTTTGTTTATAATCAAGTGAAAAAAATACATAGACACAGTAAAGATAGGTAAAGTACTAACCACGTCTTGAGGTATACGAAATTGGCACAACGCCAAACAACCATTACGCATCATAGTTTCTTCATCTCTATGAAGACTCATTCCTGTCAATAAAGTGCTAATAATTCTTTTCCTAACTCCTACAACCAATTCTCCCTTTTCCTTCATTTTTACTATGTAAAATAAAGTAGCACTGTAATAGAAATTCTCTTAAGTTTCAAATGTTGCATAAAAGATGATACATGAGCTTATTAAGATTTACTACCTTCCAGATATTTGTATATGTTTTTGATATGGATGCTTTTCCATTGCTTCTAATACAGTACGAAGAGCTTGATCCATTCTTTGACAATTTTCATATCTAAATACATGATATAGATCACTCAGTACTTTTTGTAATAATTCCTGTTTGTTGTTCATACAAACATGAGCAGCAATTAATATTTGATCTTCATTTGCGTCTCCTGCTACCTACATTTATGCCATACAATTTATTTAATACAATGACATTTAACTTCAATAGAATTTTAACAATACATACCACTTTTGCTGGTATATCGTGTCTTTTACAAGCTGCATGAGCAGTTCCATAAAGACCTAAAAATTGTAACGGTTTATGAATTCGAGACGCAAGACCCGGTATGTCACAAAGAGCATTATTCGTCAAATCTTCTAAGACTGTATCAAGAGGTCGCTCGGCAACTCCTCTGCCTGCAAGATTAGTGCCTCCAATATCTAGAGAAACTAACTCAGGCAATCCAGATACTATACATCTTAAAATTCTATTAGGATGTTCAAATTGTCCTTGTTTGAAATTGGATTGCGAGATATCCAAGTGCCTAATATAAGTTTTCACAATTAGAATAATTACTCGGTTAAAAATCCTTTTAATTTACATAAAAAAAAAAACTTTTTCATACCTAAGTTTTTTTAAGTGACATATGTTATTAAAAAATGCTATTGGATTACCATTGACCTTTACATCGTATAATGTTAATGATACTAAATTTGGAACATGATCATAAAAATCAAAGTTCAGTAGTCCAAAACAATTGGATAAATCCAAATGTGTTAAATTTGTTAAGCCTGCCAAAAGTAAACTATACTCTCTCTCTGGAATACCAACATATCCTAATGCTAAACGCCTTAAGTTTGGTGTTTTGAATACATAACCACGCTCATAGTGTTCAACAGGACAATCATCATCTCTACCTAAAAATAATATATGCATTTATAAATATATAATATCATCGTTATAATATTATTATCGTATTATTAATCATCATTATCAAAGATGTAAACAAATATAATTATATGTGTTTTTATTACCAAATGTAAGTCTTGGTGGTATAATCATTGAAGTTCCATGAAATACTAGGCTACGTAAGTTCTCAGAATTAGCATTCACATGTTCAATAGAAAGAACTGTTAAATTAGTGCAATTTGTGAGTTCTAAATCGGTAAGTTTATGCTTCATTAATGTTTGAACAGAAGCATCTGTTAAACTACAACTTATAATTTTAACACGTTTTAGTCTTGTGGCTGTTGTATCTTTGAAGATAGAAAAGAAACTGTCATCGTTTCTCCTGGTTTCACTTTGTTGCATATACTCAATAAATTTATGACATATTTCTGCAGGGAACGCAAGTCCTTTGCGTAGAGTACGATGACCATGCTTGCCTCTGACCGAAATGATATCAAGATTGTCACAAATTAGTTTGAAGCAAAGATCAGTAAGCGTCTCTGGGCCGAGGTACTGATCTGAATGATATAGATCATCCAGTTCTGCCATCCTGGTATGGCTTTCTTATTAAATCATATACAATTGTTCATCAGAACACGCTACTGGACACAATTATGCAATTACACAACTGTCAAATATGTCAAAACTTATCAGCTGGGAATGCACAAACATCTCACAATATAATGTTAATCCTTTGATATTTTTATATCGATAAATTATCGGTTCGTTGAATTAAACTACAATGCCAACAAGATTCACTGAGATGCGTTGGTTAAAACACTTGATATGATGTCGTTACGTCGAAAACTTTCGAGAATTTTAGATAGATCGAGCATTAACCGAATGTGTATATACTCATGTTCCGCAATTTTGACATTTCACTTGACTACCGTAGTGACGCCATACTCGGCTTTGATCCAAGTTGCACTGGTTGCATTAGTTTACACTCTGATGATAATCAAGTGCATTCCTCTTTTTACGGATATTCATCTTAAAAATTTGATAAGAAATTTTCTATTCAGTTTTCTTTTTTTTTTTTTTCTTTTTTATGATCCACTCAAAATTATCTTTTTATAAAAGTCAACAAATATTTTATCAAATCATAATACAGACGGAAAGAACATTTTCATTTTCTTAAAATTTAAAACTTCATTAACTATTTTAATATTTCTTATCCGTATGTTTTTTTTTTTTTTTCATTGTAATGAAAAATAATACGCGATAATAAATATATAGATGACGTCTTATTGGTAGATATCATTTTCTTATCTATTTTGATATATGTTGAAGTTTATTATAAAATAAATCTTTATTTGTAATAGTTCAATCTGAATAGGCGAATCTGTAAATGTAATTCGTCGATTCGTTAACACAAGTAATGACGTAGATTTGATTTAGATTATTTAAACGTTAATATCAAGATAATATAAGAAAAAATCTTACATTGAATAACACGTAAATAAGATAAGTGTAACATAATAATAATGATTCATTTCTTTCATAGATTTATATAAAATAAATTTATAAACGTTAATTTAATATAATATCACATTTTTATATATAAATATCAGAATTATTATATTTAATAATGATAATATTTACAATCTCTGAAATATCCTATTAAGAAATTTATATTATTAGATTGTATAAAAATTATTTTACACTTTCATAGTTCAATTTTATAACGATTGGGCCGAAAGTTTCTAATTGATTTTAAATATCGATTACTCTTTTCCAAAATTTTTTAAGCTTCTAGTTAAACTTATAATTTTACAATTTGCAAAATAGTTAGCTGAAAAACATTAGTCGAAATAGAATAATTGATTTTTAAAATCACCAAGAAACTTTTGACTTAGCCTGTATATCTTCATCAGAAGAGATTCAGTTGCTTTTATATTACAACACTAGGTGGCAGTAGATTTAATGAAATGTATTTTATATATATATATATATATATATATATATATATATATATATATATATATATATATATATAAAGAAAAAAATCGGAAAAAGAAAAAAAAGTTAACGAAATATAGTTATTTAAAAACTTATCAGTTATCAATTACCCAACATAACTGTTCGAAGATTCTAAGGAAAGTAATAATACTAAAATCCATTCAAAAGCGATATATATGAAACAAATAGTCTGTAGAGAATTTATATGGCAGTGATATGTAATATAAAGAATTCAAAATTTAATAATCATATTACGAATATTTGTTTTTATTTGTAGAAAATAGGAAGCAATAGATGTAGTCACTTGTTATCTTTGAAACGAATTGCAAGGATCATCTTTGAAATAATTGAAAGAAATTTGCAAAGATCGATATGATTAATCAGTTTTCATCACATACACGTTATATGCAATATATATGTATATATACATATATATATATATATATATGATAGCGTATACATAGTAGAAACTAAATATAGATTGACACTGTGGCACTAATTTGTTGAATGAAACGATAAGTGTGTTGGTGCTTGGGGGACTGAACGCTATTGTGGGGTAGATCTGCAGGGTACACCAGAAATCTCTACGCTCTTCATACGTGAACTTATCCTGTGTGAAACTCAAGTAACGCGACGTGTACGTACGTTACATATTGTAATTTTCTGGGTTTCTTTTCATTTCTTTTCTTTTTCTTCTTTTGTTCTTTTTTTTTTTTTTTTGTATCTTTCTTCGCGCACCAACGAATATAAAAATTGCGCGCTTTCATTTTTTTCAAGTTCAATCACGTAATTATCATTATATTACGTATTGTTTTATCTTCACGGCATCATGATAAAATAAAAAGTATAATCTATAGAATTAGAGCTTATTCCTTGTATTATTTAAATACGAGTGATCAAAGTATTTTGATGAGACGCGCGCTTACGATATTAACCCAACGATGGATGGATAATATGGATTGTAATATTACGATAACGAAAGAAGAATAGATTCTATAGATTTTCAATTTGAAGTGTTAAGATGATTGATCGTGCAATTTACATTATTAGCAATTGTAATAGTTTGTTAAGGGAGTCGGCTAAGGCGGATAAGGTGGGGGAAGTATAAGCTTGACTACATCCGTAGTTTATTACGTATAATGAAAAAGTTCAAAAAATCAATATATGATCAATAGCTATTAATATTAAAATTACAAGAGTAAATCTCTTGTAAGTATTATTTGTTTAGAAAATTGTATAAGAATAGAGAATGAAGAGAATATACTAATGGCTTTTGATCGTATTAATTTCGATATTGTAGAGGATAACATTTTCATTCTTTAACGATCTAACGCGATTAAACTATACCTAAATGATCTACCGTTAGAATATTTTTTTAGGGTAATGTTTCTTTCGCCAATCGTTCGCCTAAAATAGGACAAGGTTGGTTGATGGGAACAACGTTGATCAAACGTTGTGATTCCCGGAAGTGGCTCGTTGTCTGTCATCCATCATCATCAAGACCCTTGTACAGATGCGTCTCACGTGACGACGATGACCGCTGAATATTTAAGACCTCGAAACGCGAGACCAAATTGTCTTTCACCGGATCGTTTACCGTATAATAATCCCTTCAATTTTTCACTCGAGCAACAATGGGCAAAGTACGAAGGGCGCGGTATATCGATCGTGAACGCGCAAATTCAATCATTAAAACGATTTAAGTGTCCCTTTAAGTTCCCCCTTCTTCTTTCTTTTTAATATCAAATCAAATTCGCAGATTCGTAGACGTGTAAATATGATGAGGTGAATAGCGTTGTTTGTAAACGCTCGCTGGATAAACAATAATGCCTTCGACCGGTAAGGCTGGACGGTCTAAGGTAGACAGGTCCACCAGCCCTCTTTCAAGGAACCCGGTGAATCCAGTGAACCAGGTTAATCCAGTGAATCCTGTGCAGGAACTGAAAGCCCTCTTTTCCGAACCACCTGTGAGAGTTCCGAACGGTGGTAAGGAACAAGATTTCCGATTCGAAGCTATTGAATGTCTACAATCGTCCTCGGCTGTGAAGGAAACAAAAGATTTACCTGATCGAGGATCATGGAGCAGCAAGGTGATTTACTACAGTGTACATCGGATCATCAAGTTCTGATTAGTGAACGAAGATATTTCTTACGTTAAAAATGACGAGCTCTGTGCGTACATCACTTTTAATTTCTTTTCTTGTCCTCCAAGGTGGAATTCATTTTATCGGTTGTGGGTCTTGCCATCGGTTTAGGAAATGTATGGCGATTTCCTTATCTTTGTTACAAAAATGGTGGTGGTGCCTTTATGGTTCCTTATTTCATTGCTTTGGCACTCGCCGGTATACCCATGTTTCTAATGGAACTATCCTTGGGACAAATGATGACCATAGGTGGCCTTGGTGTCTTTAAAATAGCTCCGATTTTTAAAGGTCAGAATAACTCATTTTCGTAATTGTTTAATTTTCCTGTTAGCGTTTTAAATAGATCGAAATATATTTATTATGTATAATTATATATTTGTTAACGTAATTCTAGATCTATTATTATTAAATTCATTTTACGAACTTATTAAAATAAGGTATTTAAAATTTAGGTATTGGATATGCTAGCTGCGTGCTCTCTTGCTGGACAAATATTTATTACATTATTATACTGGCATGGGCACTATTCTATTTGTTAGTTTCTCTACAATCAGGTAAATATGTGTGTATATATATATATATATATATATATATATATATAATATGCTTATAAAATTGCTCTTTGCGATATGATCATTAATTAAAATATTCTTTGGAAGATGTTCCATGGAGAAATTGCGGCAATTCATGGAATACGAACTATTGCATCACCCCCATAGATCGTCTTAAAGCGATTTGCTGGCCAGACGAAAAGGACACGATATGCGCCACTTCGATCGGAAACTTCAGTCATACACTTCTCAATGATCCAGTAAAAGAATTTTGGGAGTAAGTAAATTAATTTAGTTCTTTTAATTAATTTATAAAAATTTTTCTTTATACCATATTATAATATCTAATATTTTTTTCTCCATAAAAGGAGGCGCACTCTTCAAATTTCTTCTGGCGTTGATAATGTGGGTGGAATTAGATGGGAATTAGCAGGTACTTTGGCCATAGTATGGATCATGTGTTATTTTTGTATTTGGAAAGGAGTAAAATGGACGGGAAAAGTAAGATTATGTGAAATTATTTAAAAATAATCGCTTAAAAAATAATAATATTATTCATTACTGTACGTACTTACAGGTCGTCTATTTCACGTCCTTGTTTCCATACGCATTGCTGACAGTTTTATTGATAAGAGGCTTAACACTGCCAGGTGCGACAGAAGGCCTGAAATATTATTTTACACCAAATCTTAGTAAACTTGGCGATCCAGAGGTATATTGAAAAGAATTCTTTTGGATTTATTACAGTATTATAATTCTAAATAATTTTAATTTTATTTTTCAATATATAATTAGGTATGGATAGATGCAGTGACGCAAATATTCTTCTCTTACGCATTAGGACTGGGTGCTCTTGTTGCACTCGGAAGTTACAACAAATATAATAATAATGTTTATAAGTATGTGTGTATATGATCTTTTATTTTACAATTAATTATATAATATTATAAATTGTTATCATATTAATAATTAACGTGTTCTTTGATTGCAGAGATTCTCTTATAGTATGTACAGTAAATACATGTACAAGTATACTCAGTGGTGTAGTCATATTTTCTGTAGTGGGTTTTATGGCACACGAACAACAAAAACCAGTTGCGGACGTTGCTGCTTCCGGTAATTTTGTTTAAATTTGTTCAATTAATTTCTAATACAAATTTGATTTCACTTTTGATTTCTTTATATTAGGTCCAGGTTTAGCTTTCTTAGTTTATCCTTCGGCAGTACTTCAATTGCCGGGAGCATCGATCTGGTCGTGTTTATTTTTCATTATGCTTTTATTGATTGGTTTGGATAGTCAGGTAATGAAAACTTTGTTATTAATATTTTATATATTTTTAAAGATATTATTTGAAAAATATTTTCCAACAGTTTTGTACCGTCGAAGGGTTTATAACTGCTGCTGTGGACGAATGGCCTAAACTTTTAAGAAAACGCAAGGAAATATTTATCGCTTTCGTCTGTTTTATCTCATATCTCATTGGTCTATTATGCATAACCGAAGTAAGCATTAGAGTGTAGAAAGAAAAAGAGAAAAAAGAAAAAATAAAAATAATAGAAAATGCAATGTAACATGAATTTCACTTTGAACATACATTTTATTTGTCAATGTTGATATTAGGGAGGAATGTATGTGTTTCAACTTTTGGATTCCTACGCGGTGAGTGGATTTTGTCTTCTATTTTTGATATTTTTCGAATGCATCGCTGTATCGTGGGCATTCGGAATTAATCGATTTTACGATGGTATACGAGATATGATCGGTTACTACCCTTGTTATTGGTGGAAGATATGTTGGCTATTCACAACACCAGCGGTTTGTGTGGTACGATTTATTGCAACTAATAATTCTTTTATATAACTTTGGGCTAAGATTTAATGTCAATAATTTATCTTTAAATAGGGAGTCTTCATTTTTAATATTATCCAATTTGTTCCTGTTAAATATCTTACATACGAATATCCATGGTGGAGTCATCTTTTGGGGTGCTTGTGTGGCTTATCTTCTATGATGTGTATTCCCTCTTATATGATTTATATTTGGTGTGTTACACCTGGAACTACCTCAGAGGTATGTTATCGATACCTCATCAACATATTGTCAATACAATATAACACACGGCACATAAATTTGATTTGTTTTATAGAAATTTCGAAAGTTGATAAAAATAGAGGACGATATTGCAACATTACGAATGAAATTAAATGCTACGAAAACTGCTGCCATTAGTTCTGGATATGAATTATAAGTTTTTAACAATATTATTATTATTACAATATTTTTTTTTGATATATATATTTTAAGTATAGTTGTAGATGAACTTGTTTATGTTAATATGAACAATAATTATGTCATATGAACATGGATTAAAATGAAATATTAATGAAAAATGAGAGAGATAAACAATATATACGAAATAATGTAATTATTGATGGTAACAGTATTTATCAGATTAAGATTAGAATTAAATATAGTTTATTACATCAGAAATTATGGATATATTCACGTAACATGCATTATTCATAATATAGCACATATTAAAAAGTAAATTTTCTTATATTTGACACAAGAAATATTGTATTTTAAAAAATAAATTTCATTAACTATATCATAATGAATGTGTGGTAGAATTTTGATCTTCTAAATATAATTTTATGTAAAATATGTAAAAATTATTAAACTATTTAGCCTCATTTTTCTTTATTTTGCATCTCTTTTATACGATCGATTAATTGTTCTTTCCATTCTTCTTCAGAAATGGTATTTGCCCATTCTGGAATTGCTGTGGACGGTAATGTGAAAGTTGCCATCATTGATTTTACTTGATTAATTTTATCTGCATCCATATCTATATTAGATCTATTAGATGGAGATGACCATACTTCTATTGTTTCGCTAAGGCATGTCTAGAATGTTTATAGATAATAAATTGATTAGGCAATTAAGTAATAATTTTTAAATATAAATATTTTTACCTGCTGTGAATCGTTTAATGATACAGGTACTGCATGATTTGTTTCTCCAGTCTGAGATATCCATTCGTCATCCTGAAAATACTCATTATGAATATAAAAATGATAATTAAATTAATTGAGTATATATATTAATATAATTATTATTTATATTTCAAAATATAATATTACAAACTTCATCATCCTCTAATATAAGATCGCTATCAGTAGGTAATTGAGATAATGGCATATATCCTGCCATTCCAACATCTTCATCTTCGCTGTCAGAATCTGTTGCCATTCTTGTATCAATGATCAAATTAGGTACATTTAAATTTTCTTCTATTGGTTCTTGAGTAGGTTCAGGAGACATTATGCGTTAGGATATATCGCATTTTCTACGAATGCATATTTTTAATCCCTTCTTTTGTACCCAATTCGCAACGACAGTTGAAAAAATCCTCACTGTTATTCTTTTTGACGATATTCCTAACCCTATTTTTTTCCTAAAAACAAATTTTACATTTTTTAATATAACCTTATTATTTATATGTTTTCACAAGATATAAAGGGATTTAAGTTATATTAATTTAGAGAAATATATATCGAATTAAATGTCCCGGAAATTAGAATTTTGTAAATACCCATAATATTTGACACATCACAGCTGATTCTAGAAATATTTGACGGTAAAACATCAAACTACATATGGCAAAAGGACGCCATCTTTCAATAAACGCGCGAAAATACAAATTCGAAAAATATAAGACGCAATCAACAGTGAAAGTAAATTATCAGAGGAAAAAAAAAATATTTAATCTCTGGAATACTACCACAAAACAACTATAGTAAGTATCTTGTATGTATAAAATGTAATGAAAAACTGAAGTATAAATCAATATTATAAATAATTTAAAATTGACAACAGTTTAACATTACCATTTATTGTTAGGAACATATAATTTATATATATATATATATATAAAAGTAATAAAATACATATATAAAATAAAATATATAATAAAATATATATTCGTATTTATAAATACGAATTATTTCCAAAGAAGACGCAGATAATTGTAGAAAATTATAGAAGTAAAGTAGTAAAAAGTATTTCGCTATATCATACTTGGATTACATTATCGGAATGTTGATTAAAACATCTAAAATTGTGATTACTAATCGCGAATGTCATTTCGTCCTCTAATTTTATTTCATTATAAAGCTATTCGTTCATCGAAGATTCATAGAAGCAGAATATAATTTTGAGGACGCGTGGAAAGTGGGGATAACTAATCGCTGAACTTGCGTTTACAACAAGACTCGAGTGTCTGTCGTAATTAATTAAGCTAATGACTGAGGCTCCGGGTTTTATCGTACATCACAGACAAGAAATCATGTAGGATGAATGGCGCCCCGCCATTAAGCCGACTGCAGTAGTAATCCAGTGCAACGTCGAGTGGTATCGCACAAGTAGACATGTCACTTGTTGAATCCTACATTCTTTTAGCGACCGCCTTCGTATCAGGTAAAGAGTGTGAAACACACGACATAATTAGATTTTTTAACATATTGAGACATACTTTATGCGCGTTCGTAATATCAAAGATTAGGATATATAATTGGTTGAAAGTTTATCATTAATATTTTCTCATGATTTACAGCGTACGCGCATCCGCAAAACACGTTATTAAACGACGTGGAAACGGTCATCAAATCGGTTTTTAAGGCAGCACGAGAACCAGCAACGTTTAATTTGTATACCAGGTATAATAATACGATATATTATTATTTTTATACGTTACGATAAATTCGAGGTAAAAAAGAAAAAACAAAGTATAAAATTAACATCGATTATTACTTCACATACACACACATACACACACATACACACACACACACACACACACATATTAGTAATTATTACATCGCGCTTATATTAATACCCGTAAAACTTAATAATATAATGAATGAAAAAATGATATTTGCGTTATACCTTGCATATTACTCGATCAGGAACTATAAAAAGTCGCGAGGTCGAAGCTTCGCGCGTTTGCCCTTTCTTGTCGTGGATCGATCGATAGGAAAAATTTTTCGCCGGTGCGGAGCCAATGTTATGCATTGCTATAAACGAAGCATTAATTTTTTAAATGATACGTGCAATCAGAAAGCGTCCGCATTCTATTCTCAGCGCTGACGCTCGATTGGCTATCATCCATGCGTAAATATCTCAGACGCGCCTCCACTTCTTTTTCTTCTGCTTCTTCATCTTCATCTTCTTCTTTTTCTTCTTCTTCTTTTTCTTCCTCTTTTTCTTTTTTATCTTCTTTTTCTTTTTTCATTTCATCTCATGCCGATTGTCCCGATCGAAAAGGAGGATAAAATGAGGCGCCACTCGAATAATGAAAATAAATGTTCAACTGGCATCTCGTTAATTTTCTTACTTAGAAAATAATTAAACTAGAAGTATGTGTTTCATTTTTATATAATAAAAAAAAAAAAAAAAAAATAGTAACTTTTTTACTCATGTAAATAATTTATATTTATATAATTTATATTTATATAGTATTATATATTATTTTTACATGAGAAAATGATCAATGATATAATGAATATTATTATGATAGATCCATATAGGAATTATTTAATCGTTCGTTAAAATGTAAATCTTAATGGTTAAATAATTATATAATTATATAGGGAGAATCCTTTCGGCGAGGAACAATTATTCTTGAATAATACAGAAGTCCTTTATGCATCTCACTTTAATGAAAGTCGTCCAACGAAGTTTATCGTTCATGGATTTAGCGACACTGGTAATGAAGCATGGGTACGAGGACTCATAGACGGTAAGATATTATTAATAAGATAGAAGAAAAAAAAAAGAGAGAAAAAGGGAATGAATGGAAGATGTTAAAGGATTTTCTAGAATATCACAACGTTGAAGAGAAGTTAGAGAAATTTCATGATAATCATGGTCAAATCGTTTCGGTAAACACGGAATCGGACGTCGCCAGGTTCAAGGGTCAACAAGATAACGCATTAATTGATCGTTTTACAACACTTTTGCTCTTTCGCGTGTAGTCATATTTTCAAGCTGACTTGACGTAATTTCGAGAAAAGAGAAAGAAAAAGGAAAGAAAGAAAGCGGACTCCGACTTTTCTCTGATTTTTTTTCTTCTTTTTTTTTTTTTAAAGGAATATCAACGAAATGAAATTTAGAATAATAATCGAAAGGAAATAAATATTTTTTTAGCTTACTTGTTACACGAAGATGTGAATGTAATAGTCGTTGGTTGGGGTATATTGGCAGCAGATGTTTATCCTGTGGCTGCTAACAATACACGCAAAGTAGGAGAATTCTTTGGGGATTTTCTCGAATTTCTTAACAGAGAATCGAATCTCGAATACAAGGACGTTCATATTAGCGGTCATAGTTTGGGTTCACATGTAGCAGGTTTTGCTGGGGCTTATCTCGATGGTCGTATCGGCCGAATAACTGGTAAGATATACGTATAAATTATTTATCATGATTCCGATAAAAATTATCACGATGTCATAGGTCTGGATCCTGCTAGTCCTCTTTTTGAAACGATCTCAGGAATCGTTGATCCAGAATTTCGATTGGATCCTACGGATGCACAATTTGTCGATGTTATACATACTAGTGGACCAGCTTTTGGATTTTTAGCACCTTTAGGTCATGCTGATTTTTATCCCAATAATGGTGAATTCCCACAACCTGGATGTTCTTTCTTACCAACGACCAGTTAGTATCTTGAATGGTTAAAAATATAAAAAGTTACTATGTCATTGAAACTTTACTTAAATTAATCATATATTGTATATATGTTTATATTTTCCTTTCTTTTCTTTTTATATTTTATTTTTAGCCTATTGCAGTCATTCTCGTGCACATCAGTTCATGACAGAGAGCATCGGTAGTACTGCAGGATTTAAGGCAAGAACCTGTGAGAGTTGGGAAAAATATAAGGAAGGTCGTTGCAATTACAATCCGATTGTCTTGATGGGAGAATACGCATCCACATCGTAAGACTTTGTTTATTTTGTTTTTCCTTAAAATCTCCGAAAGTCTAAACATTGTATGTTCCTTTTATGTCAGATTACGAGGCAGATTCTATTTGTCTACCAACAATGAACCACCATTCGCAATAGAATGAGAAAGGACACGGATATCGAATTTGAAAAAGAAAGCAATAACGATCGTGTATATATATGCGATTAAATAATCAGTACTAGTCATTTGTAAGTTACTTTATTTATGTAGACTTACGTGTTTGCTTACGCGTTATGTACGCATGCATGTACCTCAATTTTCATTCGGATCTCCAAAACGTTTCATAGCGTTTGATTGAAGCCGAAAAAAAAAATTAAAATAAAGAAAAAAAAAAGAAAATAATAATAATAAAAACGATCCAAAATAAAAAATACTCTATATCTCTACGTACATAAAGTACAAATTAAGATGATAATTATACGCAATAGATTCGAACATCTTTATTTTTTCTCTGTACTTTGCACGAGATAAATAAATGATCGTACGATTGGGTTTATTCTAATATTTCATGATCCTGTCACTTTTCTTTATATCGCGTGATTATAATCGATTCTTATTAAAGAATAAAATCAATTAATAATAAATTAAGAAGCAAAAGTTTTATTGAGTTTATCAATATCTTTGAAACAAGGGAATGGAGTTGCGTTCTACCATGTATCGGTTCTATCTTAAATTCTTCATTGTGTTTAATATAATAATTTTAATCTCCTGTAACAATGAAAATGATTTCATTCGAGATTACTTTGAGCATAGAAAAATCGCTAAAGTGGTCGGATTTTCTTGTTACAACGTGACGAGTGAGTGAAAATTGTATTGAAAGTTATTTTCATTCTTTATCATTATTATTTTTTCTTCGAAACAGATAATATCAAATTGTTGAAATCGTTCAACGATATAAATACTTTCATTGCAATATTAAAGAACGAATACTTGACAAAATCCGATGATATTTTAACGAGATTTTTGTATACCAATAATCATTATTTAGGTATTTTTTTGGATTTAAGATGCGAAAATCAAAATGTTAGCAGGCTTATCTCAAAAGTAAGCTAATTTGAGATTACATCGTTCGTTAAATAAAATTATCTACATTTTCAATTCATATTACAAGATATTTATTAACATTCATTTAGGCATCAAAACATCATATGTATGACGAAGCACACAAGTGGTTGATCATAGGTCATAATTTAAAAGAAAGTTTGAAGATCATAGACGATAGTAATTTCAATATCGCTACTGATGTAATTATAGCCGAACCATCGACTAATGGTTACGTTTTATACGATATTTATAATTTATCTAAAGATCATGGTGGATCTTTGAAAACGATATTATTTGGCACTTGGCACAAAGAAACTGGTTTGTATGTTACACTGATCAAACAAAAATTTAATAGAAGAGCAAATCTGCAAGGAATGAAACTAAATGTTGGTGTGCTCGTGAGTACATTGAATTTTATAAAATATCCTTTCGTAAATATAAATCGTAAGTTATCTAAAAATATTTCTTCGCAGTTTGATCACAAATTATCAAATATATCGATCGATAAATATTTATTGGATTACAATAACAAATCGAAAGACAGTCATTCGAAATTTATGTATGCGATTTTGATTAATATAGCAGAGCTTTATAATTTCACGTAAATATATTACATAGATTCTTGTTTATACTTCGATATAGATATTTTTTGTTTTTTTAAATATATGACTTTGTTTTATCTTAGAATGAATATTACAAAAATAGATCCATGGGAAAAACGTGGCGGTAAGCGTGGTCCAATGTTCACAGCATTCAAAGAAGATATAATCGATATTTATATAAATCCAACCATGATGATTACTGAGAAATTAAATTATGGTGACATCATTGCTCCAGTTTGGCCAGTACGGTATATAATTTATACACATATTTACAATGTATAGATAATTATTCTTATATATATATATATTCTTTTTTTAATAATTCTTTTCTCTCATAGAACATGTTTTTTATTTCGCACAATTTCATCGACAAATTTACGATTTACGCAATTCATACGACCATTGTCTATCCATGTATGGTACGCAATGTTAATAATAATAGCTCTTACAGCTTTTATTTTATTGACCGTCTTAAGAAAGGAAGGTTTTCATGATTTCATTGGACTCTGTGGGATCTCAATACTTTCTTCCATCGGAGCTATATCGCAGCAAGGTTCGATATTCGAGTGACATGATTCAATGAAAATTTATGAATATTACATTAATGTTGAAAATACATGAATTCTTTTTTTTTCTTTTTTCTTTTTTTTTTTTTTTATACCAGCTTCAGCTGTGGTACCTTACGGAATTGGAGGTCGTATTGCATTTTTACACATAATGTTCTTCAGTCTGTTAATCTTCAATTATTACTCAGCTAGCATGGTGTCGAATCGTTTAAGAAATATCGAAAATAAAATGAATGATTCATTGATTAGCTTAGCCGATAGTAATTTTAAGATCGCAATAGAACCTACTGAGTATATTAATTCGTTATTACAGGTAAATGATTTCATAATCAGTTATTATAAATATTCTTGTAAATAAAAATTGGGACAAAAGTTTCTAAGCTTGTAGTTTTGCGATTTGAAAAGAAAAAAAAAAAGAAAAAAAATATTAACCGAATAAACCTCATACAAGAGTAATTGATTTTTAAAAGCATTTAAAAACTTTTGGCCTACCCAATTTTATTAATACTTTTTATGTACATATATATTATAGGAACCATACATAGACGTAAAATATTTTTATGAAAATCGTTGGCTAAAGCTTCCTCAATCAATGAGATACTTGCCAATGGAGAAAGGATTAAATCATGTTGCCAAGGGTGGTTTTGCTTATCACACGTTAACAGAATCAGCTTATCCGTATATAGAAAGAACTTTTGAAACTCGTATAATATGCGAATTAATGGAAGTTCATCTCTTTCGAACGACTTTAGGACTTTGGACGAGAAAAAATGGTCCCTTCACTGAAATGCTAAGAATTGGGTAAAGAAATTTTTTTCGAACTTTTCTTTTTAAAATAATTTTATCAGGATATAAAAAAGAAAAATTTTCTTCTTTCAGATTTACGAAAATGAATAATGTTGGTTTACGAGATCGTGAATTGAAACGTTGGTCTGCTAGAAAGCCTCGTTGTCCGGCAAGCATGCTTATAGCCGAAGCCATATCGATTCATGAAGCCGCCCCTATTTTGTTATTCCTCGTCGTTGGCATGGTTTTATCCTTGAGTGTATGTGCCATCGAAAATATCATTTTTTGGTTTTGGTCCAAAAGGTATAATAGTAACTGTTTTCGATAAAAAAAAAAAAAAAAAAAAAAGGAAAAAGAATAAACCTAAGGGAAAAAAAACTTTCTTACATATCTTATAAATTTACAGATCGTTGATAATAAATATCAATAGAAGACACATGGATTGATATATAAGTGATAGAAATGTTTCTTAATTATTACCAATTATAGATCGACGTCGCTAGGGAAGTATTAAATATTTAGAAATATTAGAATTATTAATGATCTTCTAGTTCTATGAATGAATAAATAAATAAACGTTTTTTCTTTTTCTTTTCCTCTTTTTTTTTTTTCGTAAAATCTATGAATAGTTTACGAACCATATATAAATATATGCCCACAATTGAAAATACTCATAATGACATCGACGTTCGATCGTTTAACAATTGAATAAAAAAATAATTAGAAAAAGATGAGCATTAGAGTACTCATTTTGTTATATATCGTCGTATATTCTTACGCCGAGGACAATGATTTTATTAGTGATTATTTTAAGTTTAAAAATGTGAAGAATATCGTTGGATTTTCGTGCGGTGATGTTACGAGTGCGACTATTACAGAAAATCATCTTTTAAAACAAACAACGTTAATTATATTTATTATTAAATATTTAATTTTTCTCGACAGGCAATTTTAATCTTTTGAGAAGGCTAAATCATGCAGGATTATTCGCGATTATAAAAGATCCTTTTTCAAATCCAGATGTACGTTTGATATTGAATAGCAATCATTGGACAGTAGGTGTTTTCGTCGATTTACGTTGTCATAATCAAAATCTTAAATATATTTTTTCCGAAGTAAGATAAGTGTAATAAATAAATAATTTAAACCTGTTCCATTTTGACAATTTAAACGTAAAATCAATTTTATTGATCAGAGTTCGGAGCATCGCATGTACGGCTATCTTTATAACTGGTTGATATTAGGATCAAATTTAAATCAAAGCGTATCGATTTTGAATGATACGGCTTATAGCATGGCCACCGACGTAGTTGTTGCTATACCTAATCAAAATGGTTACGAAATGTATGACGTATTTAATCATTGCAAATATCGGGGCGGTTTACTAAACGTCATTAAATATGGCACTTGGAATTCTAATGGAAATTTGAATATTTATTTGATGGAACCAAAATTGATTAGAAGGGGAGATTTGAATGGTTTGAGATTAAAAATAGCTGGTGTAGTGAGTGTTTTATATTTTTATTTTATTTTATTTAATTTTTATGAATTATATTGTATATTATATTTTGTAGATTCAATATAGGCCTAAAAATATGAGATTAATTGATTACATGAAAGACATCAATACTAGATCTTTAGAAAGTATGCATAAATTCGTGTACTCCATGATATCACACACTGGAGAACTTTTTAATTTTAGGTAATTACGATTTTACATTTATATTTAAATGTTATAAAATTGATCATATTTTTTTTTTTTATATGTATATATATATGTATAGCGTACACGCCGGAGAAATATATTACTGGGATCGAAATAGTATACACGGTCGAATGTTTGAACTTCTCAAAGACAATTATATCGACATTGCCAGCAATCCAAGAGTTATGGTGTCTGAAAGATTAGAATTTGCCAGTTTGATCGGTGCAGCTTGGCCAGTTCGGTTAGAAAAACATTCTTTTTTTTTTTTTTTTTTTTTTTCTTTTTTAATCAGATAGTCGATATCTGATTTTAAATTGAATTATATTTTTTTCAGACCATGCTTTATGTTACTTTCTACTCCAACGAACAGAATCAAATTAGATTTATTTCTTAAACCATTTACGATAGGTATTTGGGACACTTATGCAGTTTTCATGGTCATTTCTATGATCATAGTTGGATTAATATTGAAACGTGAAAAGGTAAAAAGTGAAGAGGGTTTCGGAGCTATCGTTTTAACTATTGGTATCATGAGTCAACAAGGTACATTTTAATTTTTCAAATATGAAGAAAAAAAGAAATTTCTAATAAATTGAATTAATTTCTTTATTAGGAGCGTATTTCTTTCCAAAAAATTTGGCCGGTCGTATAGCAGTGGTACAGATATTACTTTTTAGCTGGATGATGTATAATTATTATTCCTGTAGTATTGTATCGGCCCGTTTGAGCGAACCATTCGACAAAATAGAAGATTCCGTTGCGGTACTTGCCGACACGCATATGCGTATTGCGGCAGAAGCTGTACCATATTTGAATTATCTATTGAAAGTACTTATGAATAATTATAATATTTTTTTTTGTCCAACGATAAAAATAATACTCGTCAATATTTATTTGCCTTCTAGAAATGGAATTGGGAATCAGATTATTTTAGGAAGAAACGTTGGGACCCGTTGCCCCTATCAAAAAGATATTTGCCTATAGAAGAAGGTATCAGACAAGTTGGTCAAGGTGTTCTTGCTTATCACACAGATCCTAACACAGCTTATCCTTACATTGAAAAGATGTTTGATTCGAACCAGATATGTCAGCTGACGGAAATTCATCTCTTCAAGGAATCAGTCATGGGAATGTATTCTAGTCACAATGCACAATTCTTAGAAATAGCGAGAGTAGGGTAGAGTATCTTTTGAATTCTATTGTTTCATTTACAATAGAGTTTACAATCCGAGTTCGAATATAATTTTAATATTTTATTTTTAAGTCTGATCAAAATGCAAAGCACAGGTTTGCGAAATCGACAAATTAAATATTGGTCCTCGAAAAAACCTCAATGTCAACAGGACGCTTTATCCACAAGAAGTATTACTATTTACGAAACAGCTCCGGCCTTCATTCTAATTACGTTAGGTATCCTAATGTCAAGTGTTATTTGCTTGACAGAAAATATTTACTTCCATCGATTCACACAGTAAGTTATATTTTTCTTTTTTAAAATCTTACACATTTATTCACACATTTTATTATTTTTATATCGAAATTACAGAAAATTCACACAGCAAAGAGAAAATTCTAATTTATTGAAACAGAATAGTAATCAAACGGGCAACACTAACGAACTACAATTAATTAGTATTTAATTTGATAAAATATTTGATTTTGCTATCACTTAAACAAATATAATTTGCACATTTGCTTCGATAATATTAAAAATATTATTCATAATATCTTGCTTGTTGTACTGATGAAGAAATAAAAAATTAATAATAATTAATATCTATCTTTTACTATTGTTAATCGAAAGATGGAGAAAAAAAAAAAGAAGATAATCGAAATGAAAAGAAATCAATATCGTAGACCTTAGTCTTTCAATTTATGCGAATTCCATTAAATTGTCGCTATTTTAAATAAGTCATTTCTCTTATTCGATTGCAATCGTGTACGAAGCTGTCAGAATGTCACATGCAAAATAGAAAACCGTCTATAGACCTAATCCACAAAGAAGAATCTATAAAAAGTGTAGTTTATCATTCAGATTGTACTAGTATAGACATGTTCCTAAAGAAAAAGTAATAATAATGTTTATGAAGGGCTTCCTTCATTTTCAACTTGTTTTTCTCGTTTTTGCACAAAGTAACGAAATTATTCGTGATTATTTCATTCATAAAAGAATACCTACTGTCGTTGGATTTTCCTGCGGGGATATTATTAGTAAGTAAAAAATTAACAACGCACAATTATAATTTTCTTTAACTTCGTTAAACTCTTTTTAAAAAGTCATTATTTTATTACAATTAATTGATCGATCATTCGATCTATATAGATGATTTTCAGATGACCAAGATGTTAAACGAAGTAGGAATTTCGATATCAATAAAAGGGCCATCGGCAAAATTTAATTTTTTACGATTCTTAAACGTTAACTATTGGAAATTAGGTGTTTTCGTAGATTTACGTTGCCAGGATCAAAATGCCACGACGATTTTTGACCAAGTATGACAAATCACGTTACTTTCGAATTCGCAATAAAGTTTCAGTGAACTTCATTTTTAATATAAATTATTTTTTTTTTTTTATCGTAAATTGATATAACGTTAACTTTCCTTTGAGAACTTACGAAAGAATGTTTTGAGAGTGTTCAAGAATTATTGAAAGAAATCAGTTTTACACAATAATACAAATTTATTAAGAATGATTTAATGAAATACTATTGAATTTAGAGTACTGGCTATCGTATGTACGATTATGCATACAATTGGTTCGTATTGGCACCAAATATAAGCTATTGTTTGTATAAATTGAATGATACTGCCTTCAGCGTTACCACCGATTTTGTTGTTTCCGTACCGAATTATGATTATTACGAATTATATGATATATATAATCCTAATAAAGAACGTGGTGGTATACTCAATATAACAAGATACGCAACATGGAATAAAGATAATGGATTAATGGTATTTTTATTAGAAACAAAGATTTTGAGAAGATGGAACTTTCATAAATTGAAAATCATTGTATCCAGTGCTGTAAGTGTATATAAAACAAAATGAGTTCTTTTGTCTGATCATTTATCTAGCAATTAACAAAAAAAAAAAAAAAAAGAAGAAAAAAAAAATTAATTTTCCAGATAGAACATAAACCTAAAAATGTTCCTTTATTAGATTATTTGGAAGATCACGATAATATTACTTTGGAAGATTGGCCTAAAATCGGTTTTACTTTAGTACAACTTATAGCCAACATATTTAATTTCAGGTAAAATCTTCTTTCCTTTTTTTCTTTGTTTTTATCAATCATCTTACTTCTTCTATTATTTTACAACATTAAATATTTGAATTAAAAAAAAAAAAAAAAAATTGTTTCTAATAGCATGCATGTCAAAGGATTCACTTCTTGGACGGACTATACTAACGGACCTATGATGGATTCTTTAATCGAAGGAACAGTAGACATTGGATATCAACCCTCTCTTGTAATTCATAAAAGACTCGATATTGCTAAAATCCTTATGGAAATTATGCCTGCACGGTAAAAATTTAAATAAACATAACTAAATTATTTTATTTAATAAATCTTTATGTATCTAATAATGTTTTGTATTTAATAATTCTACAAGTAATTATTTTGCAGTACATGTTTTATGTTTCTAACATTACCATCGACAACGATCCAATTTAATAATATTTTTCGGCCATTAACTTGGACCTCCTGGTACATGATTTTCTTTTTTTTCATTATTTCTTTTTTGATCTATTCATTTATCATAAAATCGGATAGTATTAAAAATAAGGATTATGGAAGTTCATTATTAACTACATTAGGCGCGATATGTCAACAAGGTATGTAATATTATAGATGTAAATTCGTCAAACAGTATTAGATGTATTTTCTAATTGAATATTTGGATTAGGTGCACAAAATATGCCTATTAAATTTGCCAGTCGTATTGCTCTGTTTCAAATTGGTGTTTATGGCTTGTTAATATACAACTATTATTCGGCAGCAATAGTATCAGCACGTTTAAATATACCGAATAACAAATTAAATGATTCGTTATACAAATTGGTAGCTAGCAAAATGAAATTGGCATCGGAGAATACCGTCATTACAAATATTATATTACAGGTAATTTCATTCTTTTATATTATATAATAATTTTTAGATAATAAATAATCTATAGATGATATATATTATATTTGTCTAATGATTATGAATAATATCTATTTTAGGATCATAATCCGGAAATGATATATTTTAAAAATCATTGGTCGAAAATACCACAAAAGAAGAAAATTATGAGCGTGGAGACAGGAATAATAAAAATAATGCAGGGTGGTTTTGCTTATCATGGTGTTCCTGAACATGCATACTATTACATAAATAATTATTTCGATCAAAAGATGATATGTCAATTAACAGAAATTCATTGGCTTCGACCGACCAGAGCAGCTCTTTATACGAATCGAAAAGGACATTATCACGAAGTAGGAAAGATAGGGTAGGGATAAACTTTGTCGTTGATATTCTTGTTTTTTTTTCTTTAACTACTATAGAATTCTTTAAGTGATATAAAATAAATTATATCTTCTTTTCTTTTCTTTTTTTTTCCCCTTTAATTTAGACTCATGAAAATCTTTAGCGCGGGTCTTCTCAAACGAGAATTAAAAAGGACCTTCACTCAAAAGCCCTACTGTCAAAATGACGTAACTTCTGTAGAAAGCGTAACTATATACGAGGCTGCTCCAATCATAATTCTTTTGATATGCGGAATAACATTATCTATTATTATTTGTTTAATAGAAAATATTATATTCCGGATAACAAAAATTAAACAATTCAATATAATAAGGAAGTGCTAATTAATATTGATGAAAAAAATATTGATGTAACAGTACTTTTCAAAAATAAAATTAAGTAGACCGATATATTTCAATGCCATCATCACTTTAATATAAGATCTCTGATTATATTTATCTTTTCTTTTGCAAAATAAGCACAATTTGCAATATTATAAAAAAGCAGAGATATTATAATACATATATAATTGTCAAAATTTTATTAATAAGATATTTCATAGCAATTGTGTGAAACAAAAATCTTCGTCTCTCTACAAATATTATTTTTAAAAATTAAAAATTAAACCTTGCATGAGATACAATATGATCCATACTCAAATAAGTATCAAAAAAATGCATAAAATGTTTATCTCTTGTGTTACTTGAAGGTAATTTGTTCCTGATATAAAAAAAGGACTATATGCATATATGTATACATGTATTTTACTAAATATATATAATAGTATATTTGTATTAATATTAATAGTATATCTATAACAATACATTTATTAATACGTGAACGCTTTTATATGTATTTGTATAGATATATAAATATATTTCTTTTATCTCGAATATAAAATATTAACTTGTATATAATGTTAAATGAAATTAATAATTACCATATACTAAGAAAAAATAATTTACTAAAATAATGATTTCTTATTTGTATTTGCTTTTTTTGCATCATGCCATTCTTTAATATTATATTACAATGATAATATTAGACAATTTTTTTAATGATGCAAGATATTTAATATATCCTTTCATATAAATACGATTTAATAGATTCTTTATCGTAGAAATGGTTATATTTAAAAAAAAAACATAAAAAGCAAATATAAAATATTTAATACCTTTATAATTATGCTCAGATGATAAGAGAAAATTGAAGTCAAGTTTTATCAATTAGTATAAAGACATTTTATATTGCGATTTTAATTACTTTTTTTTCTTTGACTTTTTATCTGGAATTTTTGCACCAGTCAGACTGGCTAATTGATTTTTTAATTTTAATAAAATGTCTACCTGTGGTTGCCACACGCTCTTTTCTTCTTGTGCTTTTAGTTTACGTACTAGATCGCCCTAAAATTTATTGACAAATAATAATAATAAAAAAATTAAAAATATTACAAAAAAGAAAAAAGAAAAAAAAACAAAAAAATCCATCAATACTTAATACGATAAAATATTAAAACATACTTGTTTTGCAATAGCTGCTTCCAAAGATGTTATATCTGTACTAGTATCTCCATTTTGCTCGAGAGTGTGTAATGGTTCGACTTTTTTATTTTTGGCAGATTGAGCATTATCACATTTATCTGTATTTTGTTTCCGATCAGCTAGTTTATTTTGCAGTCTACTAAGAATGTCCACATGAGACTGTCGAACACTTTTATCATGATTATATACTAACTCTTTGACTAGTTGACCCTTAAGAAATAAAATAATTATAATAAAATATATTTATTTTATATTAAATAATAAATTATATATATCAAATTTACCCGTTGGGCTGCAGTAGCTTTTGAAGATTCTACACTTTCAGTGACATTATTCGTTTTCGATTGAGCACCATTAGGTTCTTGTTTTCCGGCATATTTTTCCCTTAATTCTTCAATCAATTGATCTTCTATCTTTGTGAAGAGTGGTGATACTTTACCAATTTTATGTCCAGGAGATAACATATTCATAATGACATCTGGAATATATCCATATTGTGTTTTGTCCAACCCTAATTGTCCTCTTATTTCGCGAGAAGTATTAGGCATATAAGGTGCTAATAGAGCTGATAAAAGACACGTTAAATTACAACAAATTCCAATTATTGTCCCAGCTTTCTTCCTGTTAGTAATATATTAAAATACATATGAATATGAATCCTTTGTTAATGAACTTAATGATTTAATGCCAATAAAAATATAAAAATATTTCTTACTTATCATTATCATCTACACTCTTTACTTTAACCCATGGTTGTTGCAATTGCATATACTGATTGCCATGCTTCGAAATTGCTAATACATATTTTATACCATCTCTTAATTTAGCTTGTTCAAGTGCATTTATGTAGGACGTCAATTCACGTTGAGCCAATGCCAGTAATGTCAAATCATCTTCCTCGGGTTCCATCGGTGGTATTTTAGAATCAAAGAACTTTTCCGTAAATACAAGAGCCCTTATAGAATATAATTTATAATTGTTAATGATATTATAATAAAAGTTATATTTTATTAATGACATCTTCTCAAGTTACATACCTATTAATAAAGTTTCCAAGATTATTTAATAACTCGTTGTTATTTTTTGATGCTAAATCTGCCCAATTAAAATTCGAATCTTGATTTTCGGGTCTAATGTACGCGAGATAAAATCTCCAAACATCCGCTGGAATGCCTGTTTCTCTAGCATCAGTTCCAAATACTCCGATACCTCTGGACTTCGAGAATTTAGTATCCTCATAATTCAGGTATTCTAATATGAAAAGATTTGTGTAATTTTAAATATTTTCAAATATGGTAACAAGAAGAAAAAAAAAAGATATATAAATCATCAATTGTACATATACCTATAGCCATCAAATGTTTTAACAGTGTATAGTCTTCATTAGTTGCTAATAAATAGGCAGGGAACATTATAGTATGAAATGGTACATTATCTTTCGCCATAAATTGACACAAACTAATATCAACGCCATTAGGTTTCCACCATTGTTCATACTCTTTGGTATATCTTTTTGTAATACTGATATAGCCAAAAGGAGCATCGAACCAAACATAAAAAACTTTGTTTTCAAATCCCTCCACTGGTACAGGTATACCCCATTTTAAATCCCGAGTTATACAACGTGGCTTAAGGCCATCACGTAACCAAGGCTTTGTGACTCCTCGAGCTACGGTCGACCATCCTTTTTCTACTTTTGCAGACCATACCTTTAATCTTTCTTCCAACTGGAAAAACGAATTGAAAATATTTAATATTAAATCATAGAATAAAAATATAAAAAATTTAACACACCGATAGAAACATAATTTATCTTACTTTAGGCAAATCTAAAAAGAATTGTTTTGATTTCTTAATGATAGGTCTATTGCTACACATCTTACATCGAGGATTTATCAACTCAGTTGAATTTACTAAATGACCACAACCATCGCATTGATCACCACGAGCATCTTCATATTTACATCTAGGACAAATTCCTTCCACAAATCTATCAGCTAAAAATCGATCACAGGATTCACAAAGAAGTTGATCAACTGTGTCTGTCAATACATATCCTTGAGATTTTATTTTTAAGAAAAAGGACTGCACAATTCTAAAAATATAATTACACTTTATAATTATTTTTCAATAATGAATATATATAATTATGAATATGTATATTAAAGAGGCATACATAAATTTTAATAATCAAACATAGATATTCATTGACCTTACTCGGTTTGTTCAGTTGTCGTAGTACGTCCAAAATAATCAAATCCAATACCAAACCAACGATAAATATCATTATGGATACTAAAGAACTTGTCACATATTTCTTGAGGTGTTATTTTTTCTTCTAATGCTTTGGCCTCAGTAGCAGTGCCATATTCGTCAGTACCACTAATAATATATACTTTTTTTTTGAACATCATATATTATATTATACAAAAAAAAAAGGAATGAAAATATAAACATATTAAAATATACTTACCTAATATATAATGTATTATAATTTCTTTGTCGACAATACCTAGAAAAAATATAAAATTCGTATAATAAAAAAAAAAAAAAAGAAAAAAAAAACACTTTATAGTAAATACAATAAACATTCACTGATATACATACCTAGCAAATATATCTGCAGAAAGAACACAACCAACAATATTGCCTAAATGAGGTACATTATTTACATAAGGGAGCGCCGATGTAATTAAGATGTTCCTTTCTCCTTTTTTTGGTAGACTAAGAATAAAAAAGAAGAAACCAAAGAAGAAAGAAAAATATACAATCAGTTTCATTTGGATATAGAAATATGAAATTAAATGTGAATATTTACACAGGATACGATGTCTCTTTCACATTTGGACAATTACATGAATTCCAATTAATCATTGCTTTATCCATTTCTTCTTGGCTAACTACTTCAGCTTCTTTATCTTTAATTGAATTAAGCTAAAAATTGAATATTTCATTTAAATCTTTGCTAAATTGTTACATTAAAATTAAAATATTAACGACACGCAGTATTGATATTTGTTTAAATATGTACTGTAATTTGAGAACTTACTCCAATTACTGAGGTTCTTGTTGAATTAATTGGAAACCAAGATGCTGCTTGAATACTGGCAATTGCATTTAAACCTCTTTTCAATGGAAATACTTTCAAAGAGTCCTGAAAATATATTATAAAAGTAATAAGATTCCGAAAAATAAGTAAAATAATATTCTTCCTTTCTTAATTTTCATATACTTTTTTTTATACCTGAATAATTGGCAGTAATTCTATATTTTTCAACCAATCACTAAGATATGAATATTCTTTAAGTATTCTGTTTCCAATATTGGTAACTATTATAGTAGACCATATGGATACCCAAATAGATGCGTCTGCTAACGATATATCATTTTTATCCTATAAGATTCGAATATTTTGTTTATATTGCAACGAAAAAAAAAAAAAAAAAACAAAACATATATCTTTAATAACAATAAAATACCTTAATTAAGTACATTTTTTCTTTTAATGCATCATCTACTTCATATAATAGACCAAATAAGTAATCTTGGAGATCTATTTTATATGATCCTGCAGTTCCATAATATGTTATTGCAGGCTAAAAATATAAATACATTTTTATACACGCATATCCGCACACAAGTAAATTTATATATAGATGTATATAAATTTACCTGTAACACAGAAGCATCCCATTCTAGCCACTTATTAGTCATTATTTCATATTCTTCTGAGGGAGCTGCTAAAAGCTGCATTCCTGCACTTGTACTAAATATTTTTGATCCAGTTGGCAATTCAAGAACAGGAAGCCGACCTAAAGGCGTTTCTAGACATCGAATTATTATATATTTCAAATTAATAATTAAACAATTGCATAGGTTAATATCATTGTAAATGTTACATCATTTCGTCATTGTAAATATTACATCATTTTTCGTACCACATAATATATTCTGTGATAAAGTGTACAATGTCACAGATTTAAATAAAATGTGTCTGTGAAAATATAATTGAAAATAACTTATTAAAAAAAAACTCTAATAATTTAAATTTTCAAATAAAATAGGTTAAGTTCGTACCATTCGGTAATATTATCTTCACGGTTACATTTTCCTGGACCAATTTAGCTGCGATAATGAATTTTAACGCATTTGGATTGCCCTCATTCGTTAACACTATCATGGTTATTAATAAATTAATAAATAATCGCAATAAATAGAAAATATGTTTAACGCACACTACTCATGCGTACGAACAACAACCTGGAAATGTGACCGCGGTAAATCCAGGGAATTTTATTGGTTGTTTTTGGTAACAATAAAACAATTTGCAAATGATGATTGGATGGCTTTACTGATAACGGTAAACATTAGACTTTGCTTTACACTTTAAACATAAGTTCTTTGTCAAACATATTCAGAATAGTTTATTTATGGATATACTGGTATGTATATGATTAAACAAAATTTTGCAATTTGTTTTTACAAGAAAATTATATTTCCATTATCGTATTATAAAATAATGAAAAGTGATCCATACGAATCGTAAATAATTTTTTCACACGAGATAGCGCCTGGAAATAATCATTTTTTTTTTTTTTTTTTTTTTTTTTTTTTTTTTTTTTAATTGAAACTTCAAGCGATTAGATGTGCTTGTTGAAAAAGATAGATAAATTGGTAAAAAAAAAAAAAGAAAAAATTTGAGATATGTTTTTAGAAGCAACATTACCATGTACTTATCTACTTTTAACTTGTGGTTCCTCCATATATGTATTGTACAACTATTCCTATAATGAATATTCGATGCTTCCAACACATTTTATATTTGCATTTATTGGATTCACAACATTAGGAGTTCGACCTTTATATAATTTAATATATAAATTATTTTTCAAATCTTACAGTAAGTATTTATGTATACATACATCATATATATATTAGAAAACACTTCTTTTTCTTTTTATAATGAACATACATCATTTGTAGCTCTAAATGTAACATTGATAGAGGCAGAAGAGATGGAAAATAAAATGAAAGTTAATATTTTCGATGAATTTCTTAAAAACATTAGTAAAACTTCTTTAATATGTTCCCTTTTGTTTCATCATGGAGATTATCTTCTTGGATATAATGCAATTGTTAATTTTTTTTTATGTAATATGCTACATTTGAAGCACTTGATATTGGAATATCAGGTACATTATAAAAAAAAAGAAAAAATGATATTTCTCTAGTTTAAATCTTTTAATAAAAATAAAAAACTTATTTAAAATAGTTACTGAAATATTAATTTTAATAGAATGAAAATTTAGTCATTTCATTGTCATACAAAAGAAGTTTATTTAATGGAGTATCTGAATTATTTGTATTCATTGAACTATTGACTACCGGTTATGTTATGTAAGTTTATATATAATTTACAAAAAAGATTTAATATTTAATACATGAAGAACATTCACGTTATTTTAGGTTTTTGAATGATAATCATTATGGTTTATTAGCAAATCTCTTCTATGCAGTAACAAATGTTTTATTTCCAAGCGAAGGATTTTATCAAGAATGGACCATAAATCATGCAATTAATAATTATCTGACAATGGTTTATGTTATTTTAATGACAGAAGCACTTAAAAAAATATAATAATAAGATTCAATATATTGTATTAAAAATATATCTAAGTTGTTTACTATGATTTAATTTCTTATAAGAATTAATTAAATTTAGGAATATATAGGAAAGTATAGATATAAATTATTGATATATGAATTTTTGAAATTTATTTTCCATATGGCATATTGTCATGCTTAAAAATGTATAAACATACAATAGTACGTATGCACGCACGCATAATATATATAATTTAAATCCTAATTTTATCACATATAAGATGAATAATAGAGCAAATAAATATTATTATTTTATTACAGTCAATATTTTTTTAATTGCTTTAATATGAGTATATTATTCAGTAAAATATATAGACGTAGATATTCTCTATTCGTTATTTTATAAACATACACATATTAAATTTTAAAATGCAAAATCATTTTTAATACTATAAGGAAGAAAGTTGAATAAGTTCAATATTAAACAAATTTTATTGCAATTTTGACAGTGTTTCATACACTGGAGTTTGCTTGGACTATATCTTTTCATTAATCATTGAATAAATATTATAACAAATAAATACAAAAAATGTTACTCCTCAAATATGCTGGTATAGAGGAAAAAAATAAAAACAGTAATCTATATTTAATTACTATTTTTATGCTATTATTCGATTGATTATGATATTTTAATTTCAAATATTAAATTTTGAATTTGTTTTTAAAATATTGTAGCGTTAAACATTGGTGTTGGCTTCGCGCCGGGCATGTTGATTAAGATTTTGTAATCGAAGACTATCTCTAGGACTTTCATCGGGTTCATAACCAGGATTTGTATGTCCACGATCTTCAAAGAGATCCTTTACGGATATTTGACTACTTCTTGAAGGTCGCCCTTGAATACCAAGAGGATTACCTGCCACTCCATATTTATTAATTGCTCCTAAAGTTTGCATTTGTGATTTCCTTCGCATTGCCATTTCGACGATATTTCGTCTACCCTCTAAAGCTTTTAAAGCTTTTACTGAATGTCGTGTAGACATGTTTCCGGGCAAACCTATTAGATGGAAATTAAAAGTTACTATCATTGATTATAAATCAACTTCATTGATTGTTAATAAGATTCACTTACCTGCTCCTTCAGACATACTAAAGAAGCGATGTTTAAATGCAACATCAAGTGTGTTTATCGATTGTGCCTTTCTTTTACTCTTTTCAAGATTTCTTATTGTTTTTCTACGACCAGGTCCATTACCACTACCTTCATCGTAATCACCTTCCATACCATTTAATTTTTGTAAATCTCTAACCATATCCACTGCTTGTTGAGATGATAAAGTCTCCTCTGTAACATCCTTTAATAGCAATATTTGAATTATTGTAAAGTTTATTGATTTAATCATTTATCTGATCTATAATAAAATAAAGACATACTTTTTTGCAGCAGAACCAATCCAGTGTGGTACTCGCCAAGATATGAGCAAAAGTACCAAATCTATGAAACAACATAGCAGTGAATTGAATGACTAGAATTAATGCAAAAAAGAACACAAACACCAGACCAATAGGCTCAAGTTGCAAGTATTCTTTGGTAATGTGTACCTGAAATATTAAAATATTATTAATATTATTAATATTGAGTATAAAATAATAATAATAATAACAATAATAATAATAATAATAATAATAATAACAACAATAATACGAATATTCATGCCCGCATGTGCATTGCATACGTTGGTGCGTAAGTATTCGTTTTATAATAAACTAAATTTTAAAGTTTCTTTATTTTTTGGTTAATATCACTTTGCTATACATAATGCACATTTATTTTATGTGAATTATTGACATTGATAATCAACATTAGGTACAAATGAATGAAAAGAAATTTAAAGCTGCTAATTATAAAAATATATAAAACATAATTAAATAATAATGTAAAATTTTCGATTTGATGACTACCTATTGTTGACTAGAAAAATTTATATACATTGCATGTTTTATACATAAACTGGAACAGTATCTATAATATTGTTAATAATGTGGTTATTAAACACTTCGCTAGTAAGTTCTGTTACCAAATGAAAGTTAGATTTGAGATTAAGTTCCATCGTTTCTTTTCACAAAATATATTTCACTATTATTGCAGATGCAATCATTAAAATTTGTGCAACAATATAATCATAAATTCGTAAATTTACCATCGTGATAGAAGCGATGTGACTATGTCTAAAATATTTATATACATAAATACACATATACTTATATATGTAAATAGACATAAAAAGCATATATATACCACATAATGCATTAGTGGTGCTTGAATTTGACTACACCTCTTGCAGTGAAGGATCAGTTAAACCTAGCCCATAACATAGATAGGAATGGATGGAAAAATATTGACTTGTTTAACAGGCTTAGGATAAGAATGGAAAGAACTAAGGATAAATAAATATCAAAAATAATATCTGTGTATATGTATGAAGTATATGCATATAAATTGTAATATCGCTATAAAAAAATATAAAAATCATATTAATCTCGTTTCTTAATTAATGAGTACGATATATCTTCGCGTAAGTATCTACGAAACGTGAAAGTAGTCAAAAAATATAATATTTCTATGCATTCAAATTCAAAATGTATTTGTTACAACCTTATGAACAAACTTTCATTCCGTAGATATATAAAATAATATTTGTAAAAAAAAAATGCGAAACAATAAGAGAGAAAGAGAGAAAGAGAGAAAGAGAGAGAGAGAGAGAGAGAGAGAGAGAGAGAGAGAGAAAGAGAGAGAGAGAGAGAAAGAGATAGAGTAGTCAGATGCTGAATTCCTGTAAAATGATTGTTATTTTAAATGATTGAATAAATATACATTTAAGGAAATAATATTCCTTGTGAATAGCTGGAAAAAGAAAAAACAAATCGAATGAGAGGATGGAATGGATAAGTATCGTAAACATGGGATGAAAATGTTATCGCTTAGTCACTAAATGTTTCTGTCAGTGGACTAGAAGTTTTTCTGCACCCCCACAATCCGATCCAACCAGGAGAACCTGTGCAAGGCGTTTATAACATTAAAACCAGACGTGCCATTATACGAATAATGTTATTGACAAACACATATTCGTAAAGTGGACAAATGCAGTCACCGCGTAACGATGGTTCAGTTCTGTGTACTCTCTTTTATAGTCATTAATTATAAATTGAAAATCTTTTGTTTTTTGTTTTTTTTTTTTTTGTAAACAATTGTTTGACGATAAAATAAAGAAAATAGGGGACCGAGAGTACACCGATATTCCATCAACGAGGAACTGCACATCCTTTTGCCATTTTCGGGAATACCCGATACCTCCGACGTTTCTTCAACGTAGGTGATGTTTGTCTTGACGCCGAGCGGCCACACGATATGTAATTGATCTTTGTTCAGCTGTAGCAAGAATACGATCAGTACGAACAAGGCATTGAACATTAAAAATGCGAAGACACTCTTGTTGCGCAGTTCAATCAGATCTCCAGCGATTCGGGCCTACAGGGGAATGATAAAAAAAAAAAACGAAACACGTTAGAAATGTAGAAAAATGCTCCGTCGAGAGAGACCCAGTGATCCATGTTTTTGTCTGTTTCACAAGGAAATCATTAAAGCATAGGATTCACGGCACCCCGACGGAGCTGGCTTTACCTCTTGCAAGTATTCATCATAGGTGATGTTCATCTTGATACCAAATGGCCACTTCACGTGTAACAAGTCTTTGTTTAGTTGTAGCAAAAAGACGATGAGGACGAAGAGGGCATTCATCATAAAGAAAGCAAAAACACTCTGGTCGCGTAGGTCCTTTAGATCTTTAGCGATTCGTGCCTGACGCAAGTATTATAAAATTCATTAAAATTTAAGGATCTTTTTTAATTCTTAATACAGATGCATCCAATCTTCCAGTAGGCAAGGTAAAAGTTTTATATTAAAATATTATTTATACTGTCAAACGCGGTAAAAAAAAAAAAAGTAAAAAAGGAATTCTTTTCGAAAATATTTTCACGTCAAAATTAATATCGTGAAAAATAATTTCTTCTCGTATATTACCTTTTCCGCTTTGTCTTCGTCTATAGGATATAGGTACTTTTCAAGCAAATCCTTCCAAAATTGTTCCTCTTGTAATGACAAGATTTCCACTTCGCCTTTTTTCAATCCTTCGTCGCTCAACCAATAAGGTCTCGTTAAGAAATTACTACCCTCACGATTTTCTCCCGAATTTTGGCTAGTTACGGTTTCTGTTTCACTGTGACATTCTTCATTCTCGGCTGGATCTTCACCAATTGCACCCAAGGCATCATTTGTACGATTACCCACGGAGGATGCTCGTCTTCTTCCAGAAACATGCGCATGTGGATCAACGGCTCTATAGAAGAATTATCAAATAAAATTAGTTTTTATAAGCTATTTTATAATTTCTATTCGAAAAATAATCTTCCTATATTACGCACCTTTCAATCGTTTCCAATCTTTTGCCAAGTAGTTCTAATGATTCACCGATAGCAACAAGCTGTTGTTTCTCATCCGATGATTTACCATGCGTACAAAACATACACTTGAATAAACTAGCCAGAGAAATTTCGATCGAACCTTGATCATCGTCATTTGTTCCAGCACCGTTTTGAAGAAAACCTAACAAAGATTTTTGTTTCGCTTTGCGCTTAGCTTCCTCCGCTTCTTTTTTCTCTTGTTCCAATTCCTATAGAGATTATATCATATAATATGCATATATTTTGTGATGCCCGTATACGTTTTTAATGTAATTCTTTATAAGAAATAAATTGTTAAAAATGTAAAACATTTTTGAATATAATAATTTAATTCTACGTGATATTATGACGTTTAAGCGTTATTATTCCCTTCTAAAGTGATTAATTTGTTAGTTTTTCAGATAATTACCACCCTCGTTTTCTTCGCTTTTACTTCTCTTGTGCCCCAGGTAATGTCATTGAGATTGAACAGCGAATACATAATTAATAAAACGTACATCGATGGTACGCTTATGTAATATATTATTCCATATAATAAACAGTTTATTTCCCTTGGGTGAAGTATGGCTGCTATCAGCATTTGCATCACCACCAGCATTAGAAACATCGCGGAGGGTGAAAACAAACTGTCTTCTACGATACTTATTGCGATACCGATTACAACGGCAACCATCACCAAACCATAGAAGGTGCTGAGAATTGCAGCCATGATAACCTGTTGTATCCCTCTTATAAGTTAGACATTTATTTAATATTAATCCTTTACATTCTAATGAACGTAAAGTTAATCTTTTTATTTTTGCGTGCAGCTCGCGTTAAACACTGACATAATTTAGTAATAACACATTTAGCTATTAATTACCACCTTCACCATCATTTATGTAAATACCACACCTCCACCACAGTGATACATACGTATGATCGGATGTATTATACTGATCATGATGCTATAAGAGAGATTACATATGATGAATTCCTTACTGAATATTTTTTAATATGATTATGATAAAAAGCTTATTATACTGATTTGCTCGCATTACAAATGATAATCATTAATGATCGGTGTAATGATAATTTTTGAAATTGTGTGTTATGATATTATGACATGCACTTAAGTACAATGAAGACAAATCGCAATGGACAAACCTTTTTTGTCTTTTTCACTTGAACTTCTCGAGTACCCCAGGAAACAACATTAAGATTTATAATCGAGTATAATATAAGAAGAAGATACATAGAAGGAATAGATAAAAGATATATAATGCCAGGAATGATACACAAAAATTCTTGAGGATGTAGACAGGCTGCTATGAAAAATGATCCCGATAATGATATTAAAAATATCGCTGAGGGTGATCCTATCCCGTCCTCTCCGAGCTGAAGAGCCGTACCTACGATTACGGCCATCATGATCATAGCATAAGCCGTAGATAATATTTGTGCGCACAGAAGCTGAAAATTATAAAACACTTTGGACGTGGACAAAACAATCACGAGTATTGTAATATAAATTACGAACAAAAATTGTCAGGTATCTTTCTTTTTTATATTAAGTTATTGTTTATCCAAACATATTATGAAAAAATTATTATCTGACAAAACAACATATATATGGCGTAACAAATATTATGCTTATTTCTTTTAATTTAGCAAAAATGCAAAAAAAAAAAAAACAAGAAATTCATGTTAAAAAAGCAACAATACGCTTACCTGTATATTTGCCTTGCACGTAAAACAAATAATCATAAACAATAAAATCGGTATAATATTGTAATAAAAACTTGTCCAATTGTCAATTTTAAAAGCTGCTACAAACGCACCGACTAACATAAGAAAAATAGTACCTGGTCCAAGTATAGTACCACCTATAACATCATTAATAAATGAGAGATTTTAAAGAGTGTTAAAAATCACCTTTCTCTTTCTTTTTCTTTTTTGGTTTTTTTTTTTTTTTTAATTAGATTGAAATATACCCATTAGAAGAATCTGATAAGATATATATGGGAGAGAAATATTATCATTGATTTTAATAGTCCGTTTGGCATCCATCAATAAATCCATAATATTAGCTATAGTAGAAGGTACCCATCGACGGCGTTGATTGTAAAATTCATTAAATCCTTCTGGTGCATGAGTGTAAGCATCACTTGCCGCTGAATATTCGACCTAATCAAATGTTATCGTTATTAATTTCTTTTCTTTAGCCGATTTTTATTAAATCATTTTTAATAAAGAAATATCTTTTTTAGAATCGACTTACTCTATAGCCACGTTGTAAAAGTAATGTACAAAGCCAACGATCTTCTCCCTGATCATATTGTACGTAATGTCTTGCCTCATCGGATCTTGTTGTATACTTTTTCATTACATTATCGTCCATCAAAGCTTTTCCTCTAAACAAAGAAAAGCAACCAGGACTACAAAGTACACAGCCGATCATATGTTCCGTTGCTTTTTGCAGCCAATGACCAATCGCATATTCAAACATTTGATACCAAACCATAGGACCTATATGTCGATATTATTTGAATTTATTTGTTCGTAAATTTTTTCATTAATAGGGACATGTATTAAAAAGTATAAAGAATATACCTGAACCAACTGGGTGAATACGACCACATGCCGCACCAAGATTTTTATTCTTTTTCATCAAATCAACAAGAAGTTTTACAGCGGCTGGTTGAAAATCAATATCACCGTCTAGTGTTAATAAATACGTATTCTCAGCAATAACTTCTTTGCGATCCACGCTAATGGGTAATTCCATTAATCGATGTCCCAATAAGTAATACATGTACATGACCTAATAAAAAATATCAGTCATTTTTCGAATCAATTTCAGACATTATCTCCGTAATTAAAAATATTATACGGAAATATTGAACGATATTACCTGGCTCCATCTTTTCCTGTGACGAATCTTACTCTTATCTTTCAAATGAGCGATCATTTTAGTTTTACCAGGAAGAGTCCATACCAATCGTCCACCATAAGGAGTTGGATATTTTTTTGGATCTTTGACATGCGTTCTTGTCCTATGAACATGGGTCGCTGCTTCATCTAACGTTGAAACGAGTAATTTTACAAATCGGTTAACTTGTGATTCGTTGTCGTCGTGATCGGATAATTCGAAAGCGTCGTCGAAGAAGATATGAGCTAAAAAATATGTTTAAGTTAATTGCAAAGAACGTATATGTATATATTATGATCGAATTATTTAACTTACTTTCGAACTCATAATAATCCGGATCAACGACTTTAAGATATTTTTGTGCGACACGTCTAGCTGATTGATCTTCGTCCAGTCGCAAAATACTTTTTAAAAATTCCATCATTTCTTCCTTGTTTTCATGCCACATGGTAGCACACGCGTATATTCTGGTCACATGGTCGCTACTTTTTACCATTGAAGGTGGAGTAGTCGATCCATCTGTTTGTTCATATATAGTTTCATAATCTCCATCACCTTTTTCTTTTTCTATCTCTGCTAAATCCTAAATGATAAAATAACGTTATTATAGCTCTAGCATTTTTTCTTTTTTTTTTTTCTTCCTTTTTTATATATATATATATATATATATATATATATATATATATATATATATATAAGATCAAAGTACAATTCTCTCTAATTTTTATATTTTTTTATACCGACCTCCACTTTAACTTCCGGTTGATCGTCTCTCTTTCTATTTAAACCCATTGACTGATCGATCAGCAATGAATCATACATAGGTACAACGAATAATTTTTCAGTAGCTGCTAA